GAGAGAGAGAGAGAAAAGCGAAGAGTGTCCCGACAAAATCTGTGGCACTCCAGTTCGATCGGAAATCACTAACTACCGTCTTTTCCAGGCCCGCTGGTAACACTGTCTGCCCAGTCTTCTGTTTCACCCTCATCGTCACTAGCACTCCAACCCTCTTCTCCACCTTCAAGTGCGAGCGCGTCGAAGCGATTGGGTGTCTTCCGTTCTGGTTTCGCTTTAGGCTCCTGTTTGGGCTTGTAGGCCTTGAAATCCGGGAGAGATTTGGCACATTCATCGGCACCGAACTCAATTTTAGTGCCCTTGTAATATGCCCTGGACTTGAGGCACGTCCTGGCAAAGCAAGCTACACAGACAGAGTTGAGGTTAACTTGAACAGAGTTCCTGGCCTTGTCAAATACAATCTTTTCGATGGAAAGGTTGGCGATGTGGTCGAGGTCATCCCTCAAGCGAGTCTCGGTCAATGTAGGGGGAACGTTTCTCAAGTAGAGATTGCGGGTGGCCCCGGAGTGTATTTGACGGAGTATATTTGGCAATACAACAAATTGGCGAGTTTGCTCACGCCATTCGACGTTGACCTGCTGCCATTAGTTGCCATTGCCGACGCACCACGCCTTGGGCAAAGTGTCGAAGCTCACCCTGCGACCGTCAATGTAGACATCGTTCCTCTTCGCATATCTATAAAAGGCCTCGGCAGATTGGGGGTGCAAAAATGAAATGGATCCGCAGTGATCGCCTGGTTTCATCCAGGCGTCGACAACCATTCCGCCCCTGATGGCCTCCAGAAAGCTGGAATATGTGACCTTGTCGGGAAGACGTGAAAAGAATAGTGTTCTGTTTCCGGTAGAATCGTCTCTATAGCCATTGCCGCCCCCACCCACACACCCCCGTTTGGGTCCTGGGGCATCCTGCCTTTCTGTTCCATCGCTACCCGCGTAATCATCCGGTTCTCGATAACCATCACGACCGAGCCCGCTGAAAGTGTGCCCATGGGAGGGCTGACCCGTGTGATGTTGCGGCTGGGTCCGGAAGGAGGCCGATGATGTTGTCGGATAGCTCTGAACTGCAGAGGAGCTTAGTTGATCGTAATTCAAGCTGACACCACCATTCTCGGAGGGTGTTGGCAAGGGCTGAGGGTTTGCATGACCATTCCGTTCACTGGGATCGTGGGCATCTGTCCTGTCAAGTCCGGCGTTGATAAGGAGCTGTTGGACAGAATGTTAGCGGAAGCGTGTAAAAAGGAGGAGATACAATAGCAGAAACCTCGAGATTCCCGACTGTGACACCCCCACGGATAAGAGCAGTACGCAGGGCCTCTAAATAACCATGTAATCAGCCATCTCTGCTTGGGAAGTGACGAACCTCCCGGCAACCCACATCCCGGTAATCCGCCGTGAGATTCTAGTGCAAACAATAGAGAGGGGCTATTACTGTACTCCCTTGCTGTCTTGACCAAGTCTTCGAGGTAATCTCTTGTAACCGTTACTACATCCGTATTTCCGTTGTGATCAGACTCACTCCCGTGCACCTGCCTCAAGCCAAATCAGCACTTTTTTTTTTCCCCGTGCGATTACACCCTGCTCTACGATCCGACAAAGCTTAAGATCTGGCAGCGGGCTCTTGAGATAATGGAAGGAGAGTATTTTCAACTTACATTCGCCTTCCGCAGAAGGGTTTCAAAGTAGGTTTTATCAATGGTAACGGTGGTAGACATTGCGGGGGGGAAGGACGGTTAAGGGATAGGAGGCTCGGATCAGAAGGGAAATCCTGGGAGGGGGAGGAGGCGGTGGGGTGCTGGGCGGGAGGGAAAAATAAAATAGAATTGTCGAGTTCGTCAGTACGGTAGTCGTCGGGAAGGGCAGCAACAACCATGAGAGGCGGGTCCACAGGTCACCAACAGCCTCGGCGATGCCCAGTTCATTTCGGCTCAGTCGCAGCCTCCCCATGATACCAAGCTTTTTCTTGGTGCAAACGACCAAGTTGGGGGATTTACTGGGGCATTCCTGGTATCGTGTGCCGATCTGCACGGGGGGTTACAATCTGCAGGCGAGGTGGGTGCCGTCAAACCTAAGGAAATACCGGTACGGTGCAAGCACCTTCATCGCTGGAACCTCATCCAACCCCCACCCATCTTTTCACATCACGTTCCCCAAGCGCACTATTAGTCCGTGGTCTACAAGGCCTTTCTCAGCCCTGTGCGGCATTGATGATTTCTAGTGGGGGGGATAGTGCTGGAGAGACTAAAATGGTCCGCCCGTCGTATCCGCTGAGCTGAGGGAGGGGAGAAAGGGAAAGAGGGGGGGAGGAAAGGGGGGGGGAAGGCAAATAGCTGGGAACATCAATGAGTTTTTATCTGGTCGCGATGCACGCATGGGTAGATTTCGTACTCGTATCATGGCGCGCAATTCATCTTCCAAGATAATAATAAATTTGATCGCCATCGAGATGCCGGCGCTGCACTAGTCTATAGGGTGAGTGGATTGTTTGGTTTCCGGGCCTTAGCCTGGTGACATTTTCATTGGGTTTCTATTTATGTATGGGAGGAGCTGTTCCAATTTGATTGCGGTGTCCAATGATCAGAGGGGGGCAGGTGGCCGAGAAAAGGGAAGATAGTCTTCGCTGTGAGCCTGGTGGCTATCGGAGCAGGTATGGAATCATTTTCGAGGAATGGAGAGGCCAGGTCGATGGATGATGGCGAACTGGTAAGGTTTGGCCCAGGGACTCTTTTCTTATACCGGTACTGGCACGATGCTGGCACGGCAACCGCTTCGATCCAGTGATGGAGGGAGCTGCGCCGATAGACCATGTTTGAAATGGCGTAATTCGATGTTTTTCCCGGTCAGCGGGTGTCCACGGTGTTGGCAGCGGTTGGTGGGGGTGAGACAGGACGGGAATTTTTTTATTTTTGTTCTGGGCTGTATGGGCTGTATCGTGCAGCACCCAGATGCACACCAAAAACTCCGAGGCAGAGTGGATTTTGCGGGGATCAGGGGAAGATGACAGGTTCTGGAAGTCTGTCTCCGCATCCGATTTTTCGACGTATCTTTGGGCATGGTACTTGTACATACCGGCATCCTTGAGTACGGTATGGTCGTGGGTGATGTGAGTGATGCATATTATTGTCAGGCCCATATTACACCGGTACCGTACTTATGTTTTACGAGGACTGGCCAGGCTGGCACTGTTCGGTACCAGATTTGAACCAGCCACCACTAAGTTGTCGTACCGCACTGTACGAGTGCTATATTCGTACATTGCATGAATTGGGCCCATCGGTACAGTGCAGTACCATGGGGCGGTCAAGGTGTCCGGGGAGGGAGGGGTTTCTGTGGTGTAACGAAGAATTTGACTCTGGTACAGGAATTCAGGACTGGGATAGCAGCCCCTCATGGCTCGTTCTAAGGCCCTGTTTGCCTCTGCCCGGGCTCTGAAGTCAAGCTATGGCTGGAGTATCCCGGGGTAGGGCATGGTATTGGACTCGGTATGCGGACTACCAATGTGCAGCCGTGTTCGCAAAGGTCTCATGTTATGATACCGTCTCCTTCCGTGGACCTCGGGAACTATACCTATTAACAACGAGAGCATAGCAGGAGCCTTGTGGACAATCGTTTTCGGCTGCTAGGGATATTGTAGAATTTTATCCCAATCTGTCTCACTGGATAATAGGGAGGGTTAGCGAAGCCTTCCCAAGGACTGGGGGTGTTGTACCGGTACTTGGGAGGGTATGAGAATTCTGCGGATGCGGCTGCACTGGCCGCGGGTACTCGGGCACCAAAGCACTACTGCACTTGGACAGGCACCTTTACGGTTCCCGGGACTCTCACACGTGGTGTGTTAGGGATCAGTTATACGGTACGCTAGGTGGCTTGTGTCCGTCCACTCCAATTTTGCAGCGCATGCGCTCGAGCAAGTACAGTACAGTGCGCGGGTTCGGGGGGGAATTGAAACGGATAACTTGTCCGTTCCCTCTGCTAGGTCTTTCGCAGTAAATTGTTTTGTGGGTAGCTATACTTTAGGTTAGTCTGGCGACAATGCGCACGGCTGCTTGTATATTGCAGTGATTTATTATAGGGTATGATACCATTTGTCTCACACCTGCCGTTCCCTTTGGTGCCTAGAGTTAAGGCAATCCTTGTCATCAGATCAGACATCTTGCGATTGACAGGTCGACCAACCTCTGGTATCGGCCCCCAAAGTTACTACGGTAGGCTTGCCGAGCCTTTCCTTTGTTCTGGCCTTAACTTCATCATCCAAAGATCTCACCTCGAGAGGAAAACCTTACCGTACTTCACTTCTCCCCCCAAACAGAGCCCCAGTTTCTGCTGATCGAGTAGAGTAACGAGTGAGAAGGCGCGATCGCCATCGCTTCCCGCTCTCTCCCCTTTCAGCGGAGTCGACTTCAAGTCAGGTTTACCATGTTGGTCCCACCGTAACGTCCCCCCACAATTTCATCCTCTTTTTCCCATCATAACCTTCCTGTCCGTTCAACTTCAACCTTTAAATATTCCATCAGCTTCGTAGCTTTACACATTCCTTTACCCTTACGGGCCGCTTCGCCTTTCGCTCCCTGCCTTCTCCGGGAGAAAAAAAATTTAAGAAAGTTTAATGAGTGAAGAGAGAAACCCTAATTGTTATCCCCATCCTTGTCCTTAGCCCTCTTACCTCCTCCTCGTCCTTCGTCTCGGCATCAAAGTCGTCGCCCCTCCCTTGTTGCTGCTGCCTTTCCCCATCCCCATCCTCACCCGCCTTCTCTACAAAAAGCCCCCCCGCCTCCCCGCCACAACTCCGTCATCTTCCTTCCCTTTCATACCTCCCCCTCATCCACTCTCTTTGCGGGGGAATTTGCATACATCTTCCCCGTTAATTCATTTTCTCTGCCTTATTTCCCCCGAATATAAATTTCTCTCCTCCCCCTCCCCTCTCTTCCCTTCCCCCACATTTTCCCGTCAAATTCGAACATTGACCGTCACAAGTTTGACTGCGACTTTTGAGTAAGCGGGGGATAGTTTGGTAGGTGTCTGGGGAGAAGAAGAAAAAAAGAGAACACCTATACAGGAAAAGTTGCGGTTTTTTTTTTCCCCCCTTGTTCACCGCATCCCGATTTGGGCTTCCCAGGCGTGGCATCGATATATCGTCATCAGCCCCCAAGCTTCCACGGTGTTCAACCGACATCCAGAGCAACCTTTTATCCTCTCATTATTACCTTCACATCTCAACCTCAAATTCCTCACTACTCACTTGTCCTGTTCAACACATCTTTTTTGTCGGGGCACTCTTCGAGCGTCATTCAATTAGTCATGGCCCAAAATTCAGGAGCCGCTGCCGGCGGTCCTCGTTCAAAACATCCCAATGGTTCAGTTCTCTGCGATAAGTGGTATAGATATGGTAAGCAAGCGTAATGGCTTTTTGCGCGGCTCCACATCCCTTCTTTCCCGCAAACGATCCTGTGGGGATGGAACGGATTTTATAGCAAACACTATTACATTACCCCACCTGATTCCCTTCTGCATTTACTGATTACAGCCGCATGAGACAGGGAGATGTAGTCGTCCGAATTGTGGGTTTGCACATCGTGATGCTTTGCCGGGCAAAGATATTGTTCCGCCATGTCATGAGTTCTTTACATTAAAAGGTAATGATTGATTTCCTCGTTTTTCCAGCAAAAGGCGGAATACTGACAGAGTCTATAGATGGATGCTCCCGGAGACCCACCTGCAAACTCCTTCATAATAAGGGGTCTGCGCTTGTCCCGACCAAGAGTGCGCCAAAGATCTCGGGATCTAGAGGTGCTGGGACCGGCGGTAACTCCTCTCTGGCTTCGGATCGCCCTGTTTTCGTCCTACCAGAAATGCCAAAGGCCCGTGAGAATGACAAAGCTTCTTCCATCGCCAAGCCGAAGGCTGTGCCAGACCAGCCCGGAAGATCAGGTGTCGGAGAGCGCGGCGGCATCGCCTCTCAAGTCCCGGCGGGCCCCGCCTTTCACACAAACAATCCGAGGCGAGAGAACAACAGGGGCTCCCATTTGACTCAGGAGAGGTCTACTGCGGTTAGGGGAGACAACAAGGCTGGTGCCGTAAACGCGCCGCGTCCTCCACCCAAACCGCCTGTCACGTACTCTGACCACGTGCACAGTATTGCTTATTCTAAGGAGAGAGACTGGAGAAACAGAGGGCCATTGCTTGTCACACATGGCACACGGACGGCTCCAAGAGAGGCCAAGGTTGAATTGAGTCAGTTGGACGATGAATCTGGTGATAGCAAAAATGATGGGGGTGTCTCCTTAGAGGTTCCAGGCCCCAGGGCTTTGGTCGTCGATACTCCACCTCCAAATCTCCGCACTACGAAACAGAAAGATGATGTCGCTGGCAATACGGGAGTGGATAATGGGGTTAGATCCATCAGCACCAGGCCTACAAAAACTGCTTGTGAGGCGAAGCCCGCCCCTCGAGGCAGTTCCAGGAATGGCAGTTCTTTGGGGGATGGATGCAGTTCTCGCAGCCCCAGGGCCCTTATACCTGCCATGGTTAATCACGAACGAGTGATGACCAGTGACGCTGGCCATTCAATTGAGGAATCTCGAACAATTGGCAAGGTTATTGAGCCGAAGCCATCTATTTCGAACTCGCTCGAGAAATTCCTAAAGACCCCGAGTGCAGAGAGCTTTGGTCGTAACGTTGGGGAAGGCGAACCGTTCCAGGTATCAGGCGGTGGTGTCCGCCTCCTGGACAAATTCGCGAGGCAATATGCATCAGACCCAGCTGCTATCCAGGAGAAATATGGCCATCTAGCCTTCCTACTGCAAGCCGATCCGAGACGGGATTTTTCCCAACTTAGATACACTGTCGAAACTCACCGGTCCATGTTCTGGCAGTTAGATCCGGTTCGTCTGCGTGGGATTGATTTTGAGAAAGTTAGGCCCGAGGAAACCCCGAGAAATGAGGTAATCGGCGATTTCTTTCAGAAAACCTCTAGCGGAATTTCTATTCCGGATCAGGACTCCTCGCGATGGGAACCCAGGGATGATTCTCGAACGCACCGCCATCGCAATCAGGTAGCCCGTACCGCGAGTGAATACAATGCCTCTACCGACAGGCCTCCTCACCGCCCCGCGGAGATTGCTCCCAGGGAGCACGGTGGAGGTTACCCACCGAAGAACCGATTTAACCGCAGTGATCGTGCACGAGCTGTTCCAGGGGGCCGTGGGGGTGCCTGCTCGGGAAACAGGCACTTTGGTCAATCTCAGGTGATCCCAGTGGATGCCGACAGAGTGCCCCTCGGGGAGAAGGGTAGTGCTTCTAGTGACCACTCAGGGGTTACTACGATGGTTTCTGCAGGGGGCCTAACTGGCACAGACAGGGCTGTGGTTGCTGATACCCCAGATTTGACTACGTTAAAGCATGAGGGGCTTCTCTGTGAAAATAACGCCACTCTTGACCACCATGCGGGAGTCCCTGAGCATGCGAACGGTGAATTTTCCAAGAGAAGTGAAGAGAGGGAAATTCTATCTGAGCCCGTTGCCAAAAAACAGGCGGCAGAGGAGGTCTGTACCCCTTGCGGGGAACCGAGTGTCATTGGTGGGGTGGCGGTGCCTCCTTCCCCCAAGGGCACAGCGCATTCTATCGGCCCCGATCCAAGCTCTTTGGCTTCTTCACCACCGAGCGGCCCTACCCCTCTCTTGGGGATGAGGCAGGAATCTACTGGATCGAACGACGAAGAGCCCCTCACTACTAGAAAAGCCGGGGATTGTGTGCAGGTAGAAGGTAAGCTATTTAAGAGTAATGCTAGTATTGCTCGTGAGATTTCTACCCGGACCATTGCTAACGATTATGGGATGATAGTTCCCCAAAAGCCAGAAAAAGCGCTTGGACCTCCGGATAGCTCGCAAATGTCTTGCTTCGCATCTCGAGATGTACGTGTATTTCTCCTTCCAAGCTTTCCCCCGCTAACAATGTTTCAGGAAGCTAAGATGGCACTCGCTGTGAACTTGCAGAAACCTGGTCAGTTTACCGCTAAAGGAGAGGCCGATCGTCAACAGAGTGACTCGGAGATGCAGGAAGTCCCCTCGTGGATGAATGAGTCTGATTCGGGGAATGAGACTCCTAGTGTTTGGGAATGGGATTGGGATAAGAAATCCTCCCAGACTGGCCTTACCGATGACGAGTGGGGTGCGGGTGTTCCTCTTGATCAAGCTAATGTTGAGAGCTTTTATGGAGCGACTGGGACTGGAACCGGATCCCCGGTGTCGCCTGTGGGGCGCGTGTTTGAACTACCCGAAGATCCGGGTAGCTTCCCAGAATTCCAGAAACAAGAGGCTAGAAAATTGCGCTGTGCGAAAAAGTATAGGGCAAAAGAGCCAAAGGAATCGTCCAGGGCATCTGAAGGAAATAATTGCGAGCCATCTGTGCCCGTGAACAATGCCAGCGAGCCACAGGCACCGGGAAACAACGCTGTCAAACAACCTGTACCAGAACACAAAGTTAGCAAGCCACCTGTGCCGGGGGGTAGAGCTAGAAAACCGCCCGTATCTCACCACAAAGTCACCAAACCACCAGTGCCGGTAAACAGAGCTAACGAGGCAATTGCGTGCCAGGGAGTCAATGGCAAACTGGTGGCATCCGAGGGCTACAACAGAAGCTCGACCGTGTCCCGTAACAACCGCGATGCGGGCGCACCCATTTCTCGTGGGCGTTCCCTTGGGGGCTGCGGTGGTATCAAAAAGCTACCAGACGAAGTGCTCCATGCAATATTTAGTTTTGCCGCGGATGGTGTCCTACCAGAAGTCCAAGTCAAAACCAAGGACCTCACATACGGATGTGGCTTTGAGGCCCCCTCTACCTTCAACAAGGTTCGGTATAAAGGCCTTTGGAGTGTGCTTAGGACTTGCCACCATTGGCGCACCCTCAGCCAAGAGATCCTATACAAATACGTCAACCTTAGTGACTGGTCGAATCTGGAGCTCTTTGCACGCACTGTGTCCCACAATCAAGATATGGGAGCCTTGGTCCGGTCCCTACGGATATCTGTGCGGCCATTCAGCCCACAGGCGAGCTACAAAAGCTACAACAACCGCGATCGCAACTCTAGAGCTGCTGTTGTAGAGCAGGTCGATGCCTTTCATCTGCTGTCGGACATACTGGGGGGATGCTCTCTCATCCACGTCATGTCCATTGATATGCCTAACGCAGTCCCTGCTTTCAACAAACTGGTGTCGATGCAGGGGTTCCCGAACCTTAGGGAGATCCGTATGAAGGATGGGGGCGGGAGAATCGCGACGGGAGAGAGGGTCTGGGAAAACATCATCAGGAATACGCCTGAGCTGAAAAAACTTGTGATTACACAAGACCAAGACCTCTCTCTGAGGAACGCCCCCACAGTTATCAGGATCCCTGAGAATATATTCCATAGTGAGAAAGAATCCGCCTTCAAATTGACCCAGATCCGTCTCACTAGGTCCTACGAGATTAGCGATGACATGCTCCTCCTACTCTGCGGGAAACTTAGGAACCTAAACGATTTAGACATTGTCGATTGTCCGTTAGTTACATCTAGAGGTATTTTCCTTCCTATCTTACTTGTTTGTATCCCAGTATTGCCCATGACTAACGCTTTTTTTTAAGGTATCGCGCGGATGTTGGAGAAAATGCCCAACCAGTTGACACGCCTCTCATTCTGGATTTGGATCAACCACTACGGGAATGTATCCAAGAGAGAGCAGGATATTGGTGTAGACCTCTGTCATGCCCTGAGTAAATACGGCCAGAGTCTACAGCATATGGACATCAAGATATTTCTCGCATGTCATCATTTGTGGCAAGACGGGTTCCGCGAATTAAAACGGTGCCGTATTGTGCCTTTCCACTACCATGACTGTGTGAAGCAGGAGAATGTCCGGTCATCCTCCTTCTTTAAGAACGTCCTTGACAAAGGTCGCAATGCGGGCAAGTTCCCGGCATTAACTGAATGCATGGTTTGAAGGCAAGTACCCCTCCCCCTTTTCTCTCATATTCTATTGGATGACTATTCTAACGCATCTTCTAGGTCAATGGGAAATTTTGGTTGCAATGCTCGATATGCTTTTCATTTACCCAACCATGGCTAGAGAAAAACATGAAATAAATTAAAAAAAGCACAAAAAGACAAAAAGACAAAAAAATAATAATTCAAGGGACCTCTAAGGAGCATATCCTTACCCATAGCGTGGACCACCACTCCTATTCTCGAGGATTTCGCAGAATATGCCATTCCTATCCTTACCAAAAAAAAAAAAGATATAAAAGCGCAGTGCAGGGAGGGAAACCGAAAACGGCAGGTTTGTATAAAGTCACCATCTTGAGAAACAAAACGGTTCTCCACCGTCTGGTAGGGAATATCATAAATGGTTGGCAAAGACATTGCCATTATCATTGGGTCGGAGTTTTTACCTATTTTTTTTTTCCCTCTTCGCATTGCTTTTTTGCTTACCGTTTTCACCGATCTCTCCTCATTTGGATTTTTTGTTCTTGCATCTATGTTGCTTACGTTCATCTGTCTTTTCTATTTCTGAGAGGGGTTGCTATGTTTTGTCTTCAGATCCGGTGCTTGTTGGAGTTTGCAATATTTGGATTGGAAATTAAATTGGTGTTTACGGGAGGGGGGCCGGTTGGTCGGATCGGGTGGAAACATAGATGAAGTCGGGGAATGTTTATACATGGGAGAAATGTCGTCTGGTTCAATCTGTTTTGCTGGCACAAATTTTTTTCTTTCATTCATCTTTCCACCGATGCCCTTCCTGTATGGTATCGTGGTGCCCAGAGTACTTAGTTACTGAACATCATTGCTTATTTGCTTCTACTTTCTTTGACATCAGAGGCTTACAATGGCTTTCTTTTTTTTTTTTTTTTTTTTTTTTTTGATCCTCTTTCCACAAATGCGCGACGCACTAGCCTAGATGTAGCGCAATACACGAAGGGCGTCCCTCCCCCTCTCGTGGTCCCAGAGGTGGGGTGCTCGTGGTGATAGTGGTTGATAGTGGGGAAAAGCTGTGCACAATTCGGTACTGTTCTTGGCGAAAACTTGTACAGAAGGAAGTGAAATGAGGAACGGGCACAGTCGTGGCGGGGTCCTGCGATTCGGTATTATTTTTGGCAGCGGAGCGACAGGCCGCGGGATTCGTCCTACACTACCGGTAGACGCCTGTACCTATCCGCCAAGTATTCTGGTACAGTAGCAACGCAGTACTTGCAACTACCGTATCTTTCCCATCCCCATCACACCACGACACTTGCCCTTCACGGATACCATGGACAAGATATCGGTAGAAGCAGCGGTACTCGACATCAGTACTCGAGTACGGTATCGCATGGCATCACTGATTTGCGGCCCCGCGGCAAAAAAACATAATAGCATAAATAATGGTAAGACTAGCACCATCTCCAACCATCACGACTCCCCTCCGCCAAGATTTTCGCGTCATGCGGTACCGGTACGGTACAAGTACTCGTAGTCTATGTCGGCGATCGTGTTCGCAAACGTCGATATGTGGTGAGCGAGCGAGTAACTTATAGATAGGTGTGGGCTGTGCAAAACGCCAAGAAGGACGGAAGCTGCGCACTTGTCTTGCACTCGCACTGCTGGCAAGCTGTTGCATGCGACGCTATGCCATGAGGGGTCGTGCAAAAGTTTGGAGTGCTGTACTTATCCTCATCGTTGTATTCGGAATTGGGCAACTATAAAGGGGTCTGTCGAAGCTAGCAGATGCGGTACCAAAATAGAATCACGACATCATGAAATTGTGATATAGTCTACCCACGCTGCCTGATTGAAGTTGCCCTTTCTCTCTTGGCGGGTCACTTGGGTATGATAAGTACCCAAGCGATCTCTGATTGAATCATAACCCAGATAGCTATTTCTATACCTTTGTTGGAATGATATATTAGGATTAGGATACTTACCACTAATCGCTGGCTCCGAATACCGTACACGATGAAAATGCAAGTGCTGGTGCGGTACGCGTACCATACCTACCGACTTACTTACTTACTGTGCTCTGCCTTTTGCCCTGCTTGCTTACTTATTCTTACGGTGCGGCGATAACCACGGCTCTGTACGTATGTCCGAGCTATGATGTATTGTTAATGGATACTTGCGCGCCGTATCACAACTTGGGATAAAACCTTACACCAGCATTACAACAGTGCGGCGCGATACGACACCCGAGCCCAGGGTTCATGCAGTACAGTACTCGTTGGGTGGTGACTGACGGAAGGGTACCGTGCAGGACGGGGCGGGGAGGTTCCGCCCGCTTGGCACGGTATTACTGTTACGGGCTGTTCTGCACTTTCACCATGCGTGTCGATTGCAGGCTGACTGGCAGTGCTATCTTTATCCGCATGGTTCTTAATCATGCCTCATGGGTCCAGTTGGTGATTGCGTACTCGTGGACCAGAGAGACTATCATACTGCGAGCACGATGGGATTTCATTTACTCGAGTACAGTACCACTTGCCCCCCTCCCCCTCCCCCTCCCCCTCCCCCGTCTTGCTCTGCTCACAGTTCCGAGGCGATCGACGGGAGATACGAGGTGAGGCAAGGTGATTGAGATGGCAATTATGAGGGGTTTTCGTTCTTTTTTCCCTTTCCCGTCTTCTTGGCCTGCCTTGCGATGGATGGATGGGTTTCTGATATGCACACCGGTATACGTACTGACTGTGGCTGATGGGGTCCGCTTCGTGCCGGGGTGGGTGGTTGGCCCGTCTGGCCGTGGAGAAGTGTGTAGGGTAGGGTTCGAAAATGGGAAAGTACAGTATACCCTACTAGTACGGTACAGTGCTAGGGGACTGCAGTTGTGATAATCTGAATGGCGCTTTGAGTTAATCCTTTTGGGTCGGACTAGTCCAGCGAGCTAACCGACTACAGCGCTCGAGTACTGTACCGGTATGATACCCGGCCGCGAAGGAAGACTGAAACTGGGACTGAGGTTAAATCCACTCGGCATGAACACTGTACTCGTAGGCTGCAGTACTCGTACAGGTACAAGTACAACCAGCGGCCAGTAAAATTGTCATGATATCAAATCCACATCGCCTAGAAAAAGATGAAAAATGAAAAAAAAAAAGGAAGTGCGATCCCCGCAACACTCCTGACAACCTCGCGTCTTGGAAGTTTCGGAAAAAAGTGCAGGTACGGTATCCCCCGGTCCAATCCAACCATCGCCATCACCATCACCACCACCGCCAGCACAGAAGACCCCGCCTGGAGACCTTCTGCACTTCCTCACCTGAAAAAGGTGAGCCCCTGCGAAAGCCAGAGCTTACCAGAGTGTGGTTTTGTTTTTTATGGCTCGCTCAGCCCCAAACCCGATGACCAATAATCTCCCTTCTGCATCGGCGGAGCTCACAACTTCCGGAACCTGAGACCCCTTTTTGAGCAACAACTAACCACTTACAGTATTGTGCAAATGCTGGTACTTGTACTGTACTCGAGTACAAGGACTGTACTGGCACTTGTATGATTTTTTTTAACAGGGCTGGAAGTGGAAACCCAGCTCTGACTGGCCGGTTTGGACTCTATTCGGTTTGCTCCTTTCCTCCCCTACTGTACGGCACTCGTACAGCTGTAGCCTTTTCACTTCGAGTATTCAATCCCATGTCTCGGCTTATTGTTTTCTTTTTTACTCCCCCTGTTCTTGCCTTACGCTTTTGAGGAGCCAATTGGCTAGGTTTAGTTTACTCTGCAGTACCGGTACTTGTTCACCGTTATAATTGCTTTTCTTGGGGGGGGGGGGAGGGAAGGATGTGCTTTGCTAGAAAAGTGAGAGGAGCTATGAGAGAGAGAGAGAGGCAAAAGGGTCAAGCTAACTTGGTTCCTTCCTTTTTTTGATTGATATATATACTCGTATATGAAGTGCTGTGCCTGCTCTCTACCCCTCCCTTCATTTTATATATCTATCCATCTGTTCATCTGTCCGTCCGTCTGTCCGGTCCGTCGAAAGCTTTGCTGTGCTGGATAGTACATAACGTGATCCACCGGAACATAACAACAACACACGACTGAACGCAAGCAAGAGCGCGAGGCTGCCTAGGGAAATGGTTTCCTTTAAAAGTTTGGTTGCTACGGCCTTGATCTCTGCTGGTTCGTTTGTCCCTTTCCTCCCTTAACTTGACCCGGCCGCAACGCGACAACAACAATGCACGCGGGCACAAGACGGAGCAGGAAAACGTACTGACGGAGCCTGCTTTCATCTTACTATAGCGGCACTCACACATGCGCAAAGCTCATCGCCCATCAGGGGCTACAGCAACCAGGGTTCGTTGTTTTCGGCCGGCTGGAATATCCCAGCTTCCGGGCAGGATGTCTTCTTGCAGCTTCAGGGACCTACGAGCGCGGGATGGGTCGCGACGGGAATTGGCTCGGGGATGAAGGATTCTTTGATGTTTATTATCTATCAGGATGGGAGTGGGAACATTACGGTTTCGCCTAGAATTGGGAAGTAGGTTTTTCTTTCTCCTTCCTCTTTTGCACCCCCATCTTTTTCAGCTCTCCGTGTGATGGGAGGGGGATCCGGGTGCTAACAACGGCGATGGGACGGTTTAGGGGTGAAACCGAACCCAAATTTGAATCGACAATTCGGTTCGAACTGCTCGCGGGCAGCGGGGTCCAAGAGGAATTAATGACTGCAAACATCAAATGTTTCTTCTTTCCCTTCCCCCCTAAATTGCCCTTCCCATAATCACGCACTGACCGCCCCCCCAAAGGTGCCAATTGCAGATCCTGGGATGGCGGCAGACTCGATGTGACCTCCAAGGACCAAAACTTCATCTGGGCCGTCGGCAACCAGAGGGTCACCTCAAAATCTCAATCTGAAACCCTCAGCAAGCACGTCCAGAATGGCCGCTATGTCCTCGATCTGACAGAGGCTACCGGCGGCAATTCGCAGAACCCATTTGTTAGCTCCGGCTCGGCCGACGGTACCACCTCCGGAGTGGCAGGGCCGGGGGAGACTGGCGGTTCGAACTCGAGCGGAAGTAGTGCGAGTGGGGGTTCGAGTTCGAGCGGAAATGGTGCGGCTTCGAGTACGGGATCGAGCGGAAGTGATATTAGGAGTGGTAGCAGTATTGCGCCTCCGAGGACGAAGGCCGATAAGGTTCTTATTGCGCATGGTATGGTACTCAGTCTTGCGAGTTATGCTTTTTATTCTTGGTTGTTGTAGGATAGGTCTTTCTTTTCTGGAATCTTTTTTATTTGAGCGTGGGAGTGATGGGGATTACCGTCGCCTCTGTGCTTGGATTGTGCGCTCACAGTTGCGCATTTCTTCCAACCTTATCCTATAGTGTCTGCTCTACTTACTACCGATGATGGCGGGTGTTTAATTGTCTTTTCATCGTCACTGCGTATCTACTCATTCATTTCAGTCGTGTGATACCCGGGGCGAGCTTCCTTTTGCTAAAACAAATTACAAAAAGAGAAAAGCCTCAGCCGCTTCACTTTTCAATTTGCTAATCCCGCACTGTTTTTTACTTGCATTTTGAATATGTTGAAACCGGAGAAAGAAGAAAAAAAAAAACAGAAAGCAAAATAATAATCAAAAATCATGGTGCAACAAATACAGGTGTCATAATGGGCGTAGTCTTCACCCTCTTCTTCCCCTTCGGCGCAGCACTGATCCGCCTCCTAAACAACCGCATACCAAACGCCTTCGCCCTCCACCGCGGTGTGCAAATCCTGAACTTTCTGCTCTCAGTGGTGGGCATGGGAATGGGTATCTGGCGGAGCGAATTATCCGATTCCGTACCTCCCCCCTTCCACCTTGGGCGAAAACGTCAATAGCTAACACGAACAACAACAACACAGCACTACAAAACCTTCCACCAATACTTTGGAACAATCATAATCGCGCTCCTACTCGTGCAAGCCATGCTCGGCCAACTCCATCACAGCGTGTACCTCAAGACGCAGAAGTTGAGTATGTGGAGTTACGCTCACATCTGGCACGGGCGCTTCGTGATCATCGCTGGTATCGTCAATGGCGGGATTGGATTGGACCTGCCGAGGGCTGATGCTCCCGTCGGTGCTGTGGCCGGGTATTCCGTCGTGGCGGGGGTGGTCGGTGTGGGGTATCTGTTGTTTTATCTTTGGAGGGAGAGGAGAAAGGCGGTCGCTGCTTCTTCTACTTCTTCTCCCTGAACTGGCTTCAGATTCTTATTCTTATTTTTTGCTTTTAGGATCCTCGTTTGCAATTGGGGTAGGAGGATTATATTGTGGTGGTGCTGGTGGTGGCTTTTCTTCGTTTCCTATGTTGTATATGGGTTCTGTAACTGGTAATAGCTCAATATCCCTTTTCTCTTTTCCCTTTTCATTTGAAACCTCTTCCTCACCCTTCCTTTACGAAGTATCAAGAACCGGTCAGCCTACTGTAATCCGATGACTTTCTAAATCACATATGGTATACTACTCGAGTGTATATATATATATATTATAATATTATATATATATATATACAAAACCCTTAATACCACCCGACATACACGACACACCTCCACCCCCTCCCACTTCCCCTACCCGCACTCTATAAAAATAGGAAACGAAGCAAAACTTCAGCCGCACACGTAAATACTCGTTTACCGCACTACAGTGCAGTACGTACCCGTACCGGTACTGTACAAGTACATCCCTTCCGGCACCGAGCCGGTGGCGATGGCGTACGATACCGTCCGGGTGATCACGGTGGGTAGCAGGATTATCACGAGTGAGGGTAAGGGCGTGCGGAGGGGTATGATATTATATTACCGGTGTCATTATTACTCGCGGGGGGCAGTGGCGTTTAGGTTTGATCTATTGATGAACAGAGGTTTTGGCGGGTTTATGGGTGAGGTTAGGTTATTATACCTCACTACCAAGGCTATCATTCCCACGCCCTTTTACGGTGTGCAGAATGTACGAGTATGATACGAGTATGATATTATGACACATTTGCATAAACATCGGGGGGGGGGTTATGGAGGGACAAGACAATAATTTTTTTGCACTTTATAATCACGTGGTGATTTTCAGGGTTTGCGTTGCACACCGTAGCGTGGCATACGGTATTAGGCAAAGTACTCGAGTACTGTATGGTACAGTACAAGTACAGGCAGTGTATGATACGATACGGTACCAGTATCGATGTTCTTTTTTTTTTGTCTCCACTTTCACTCCTCTTCATCCAATCTCAAGCACAAAGTAAAAAAAAAAAAGGTAAAAAAAAAGCATAGCGACCAAGCCCGACAGACACACCAGAAACAATGCCACTACTCCTTCGATCGGGCCTTCTCCATATCCTTAGTCCGCTCCAAGATAGTTCGAATCATCTCGTTCCCCACCTTCGTTGCATCCGCGAAGCGTGGCCCAAAGTACTCCTGGGGCTTTTCAAAGCGTCTTCTATATGCATCGAATTCACCAAAACTGACCGTGTCACTCCAGCCCTATTTTATTCCACCCCGTTAGTGAGTGAATTGTATTTGGGAGTTTTTTTGTCATATTTTGTTTCCCCAGGGATGGTGATGACAGGATAGGGGATAAAGAGTTGGCTTAGTTTACGATAGTTAATTCGGGGGGCGAGGGGCGGCAAAGGGTACATTTATATGGAGATTTAGGATTTGGTGTTCATCTTACCCTGGCCGCAAGTGTGAATTCTAGATCGTCAGAACGAAAGGTGTCATCCTCCATGGCGAAACCTATGCAATCGTCGAGCAGGTCGGGTTGACGGAAGAGATATTCTGTTGCTCCGAGCCAGAGCCGGAATAACTATTTTCCGATTATTGGAAGAAGGATTAGTCTCGACAAGCGATTACACTGCGTAAGCATGCGTGAGACAGAGGGAAAGCGCACAGGTGTAGAGCAAATAATATGATCGTATGGCACAATATTGCATCTGTGCCAGCAATCCACCATTGCCAGCAGACTCAGGTGGCTGTTCGGCTTTCGTGCATGCGGAGGCACCCCGCTGAGACTAAACTTGTCCAGGATATCATCCCGTAACAAAAGTTCTTGATCCTTTTGCTTTCCAAAAACAAACTCCCCAGCAGAGTGTATCCTTCTAGACAGTTCTTCCTTCTTTCCTTCCAAAATCAACTTGAAGAGCTCCGTGGCCGAAGCAGCATATTGCCGTATCTGTTGCTGGGCCGCAGGATTGAGAATTGCTAAACCCGCATACACATGCCACTTGTTGCTGTAGATCCTTAAAGTGAGATTTATCTTGACATTTTCTATGCCGCCTTGCCAGCGAGTTACTTCCCAGGGGAACTGGTTGTTTGCTGCCCAGGCCGTTCCCATGCTAAACTTCTTATTAGATACTTTCCACACAAAGGATTTGTCGGGGAGCACCTGAGAAACGCCGCATGTGTGACCGCCTGTGTATCTGCCGTGATTGTGTCATGCTCCTCCGCGCTCAGGTAAACCAGCTTGGAATGAAAGCAGGAGAGAATATCCTCCACAAGCTTGAAACTTTTGTCCGACGCTTTGTGCCTTATGATAACCTATGATTTATAATACGTCAATTGACCATACATGGTTCCGTGAAAGGTGAACAAACCAAGGGCTGGCCGGCAGGGTCAACCGTAGGGCCATGTAAAGAGTGGCACGAAACAATGTCTACATCAGGGGGAAGATGTTTCTCGAAAATCTTGACCTCGGGAGCCTTGCATGATGTTTGACCACCGACTATCGCACCTAGTTTTGTTGCTGTGGTCAAAGTCAGCTCCCCCCCCTGTTCTTTAAGAGGAGGGCGGGTACAGGGTCCATAAGCAGCAACAACCGTATCAAGTAGCTCCGCTTCAACAGCATACATGATATAATCACTAATTCGGGAAACCAAACGGCCATTTGCATAGACGTGTATATTCTCAACCCCTAATCCCCCATCGTCAGATACTTGCTGAGCCATTCCCCACTCCTCTCCTGGACATCTCAACTACGGGGAGTCGGGTCACATACCAGCAAACTCCTTCTTCAAGCCATCGAACTTGTCCTCCCGGTCGCAGGCATTAACACTTCAAAGCTCAGCTTCAGCATCATCCGAAAAGAGAGAAAGAGGGGGGAGGTGCTCCGATAAAGAATCGAATGAGGAAGGAAGCAAACTTGGAAGGTAAGGGGACAAAATGAGTAACAAACCTCCAACCAGCTGCTGCAATCACCCTAGCATACATCCTCCCCATATCCCCCATCCCGATGATCCCCACGAAAATTTCCCTCCTGGCTGTCATCTCGCATTTTTCCATAGCTTTCCACGCTACGGTATTCAATTCAAGGATATGGTACGCAGTAGTACAAGTATTGTAAAGAGTGAAAGGCAAATGAGAATGCGAATCTAGATGACGGCTGCGGGGAAAAGAAGAAAAGAAAGAAGGACTACCGGAAGTTAGCCTCTTCCCTAAATTCTCCGGCTTATCCCTCCCACCCGATTCTTCTGTTTTGGTTTGATCTGGTCAGTTGCAGGAGCCCTACACTCAATCAGCCTCCTCTTTCCTCTTTCCCTTACCATAATCATCCGGGTGCTTGGCATTGAGCCTTCACAAATAATAACTCCTAGAATCGAACCCTGTGCTTTCCAGTTTGTTCCGTTCGAGTTAGGACAAACACTGGGGGGGGGGGTTTGCCTTGAATAATACTATGTGCTCATACCATACAATACGGAATTAGAGGCTAATAGAGGTGGGTTGGAGAGGGAGGAAACGGGGGTTAGTCCGCACACTAACTTACTATTTGGCTCTAGAAACCCTAGGGCCTCCTGTACAAGTATCACACCATAGATTCCACTATCGTATATCATATGGATAAGCAGAGATTTATCCCAAGTTTCTTTCACTCAGCCTTCTGCTCCCATGGGACTGCATCACTCTAGGAGTCTGAGGTAGACGAGTGCGGGTCCCGACATACAATACAAACACTTCTCCGGCGCTCTACTGTGCCTGCCACAACTCCCCCCCAAACAACAACAATCCAGGTTCCAAATCTCGGGCGTTAGGAGACCGGCATGGAGAAAAAGAAAGATATCCATGTCCTCATTTTCGGCGGGGGATGTACGTTGCGGCTCCATTGGCTCCCGTACCCCAATTTTTCTTGTATGATACCCTGTTTATTGACTTTCAGTAGGCGTGGGTGCCCTTTACTCCTACCTCCTATCCATCTCAGCACTTGCAAAGGTCCGCACCACGATGGTGTGTGGCAGAAATTACCCCACAGTCTCGGCCACAGGCTTCACCCTGTACAGTGTTCCCCGGGGTAATCATACTTTCCGCCCCACGAGAGTTTGTTCCTCCTTGGACGAAATTGAGGACGCCTCAATCTACGACTACGTCCTAGACACGACAAAGTCTCACCCCAGCACCTTCGATGACGGCAAGCCGCCGCTCGCAAGGCTATCCCTGCCGGAGACCACCCCAATAATCCTCATCCAGAACGGTGTGAATATCGAAGAACCTTACCGCCTGGCATTCCCCAAGAACCCCATCGCCTCAGGGATACTCTACTGCACCATATCACAGCCGTCACTAGGCGAGATTCGTCAGGAGGGTAAAGTGAATAGTTTACGAATTGGCCCTGACTACCCGCTCCCCGAGAAAGAGCAGGAGAAGATCCAATTCTTCGGCGACGTCCTTGGGGAATCATGCGAAGTCACCGTCCATCGGGATATCCGGTACGAGCGCTGGCGTAAGGTTGCCTGGAACGGATGCTGGAATACTATTTGCGCCGCAACAGGGCTGGATACTCAGTCCCTCATTCAGAGTTCACCCCAGGCGAAGGAATTGGTTATCAATACACTCCGCGAGATTGTTATGACTGCAGAGGCAGTGGGCATCAAGATGGATCCGATCGATTCTCTGATCGAAGATCATGTTGGTTGGACGCTTAAGGCCCCGCCAATCGTGCCTAGTATGCTTCAGGATGCGCGAAAAGGGGTTCAAATGGAGGTCGATGTTCTGTGCGGGAATATTTGGAGAGCTGCGGAGAAGGCTGGCGTAAAGGCTCCGAACATCAAGTACGTACAAATTTACCTCGGCACCTCCTCGTGATAAGTCGCCCCCACTGAACTGGCCCGCCCTAGATCACTTTATACCGTTCTTACTGCTATGAACTGGCGTTTCAAAAGATCAGCCGGGAATCTGTAAGGCGCACACCGGTAGATCCTCTAATGTAGACGCCCTTTGAATTTCACATGCATCCACTGGTGGTTGGCTGCTCAGATATCACTATTTTCATACATTATCACTCGCCTTCGCATAGTTGGAACCCGAGCATTTGATTTCTGTAGGGGGCGGTCTGAAGCTTTAAAGCTCGCCCGGATTATGATGCTCGGCCATATGGCATACAGTTGATCCCCCCAAACCAATCCTAACCGGTATCCCCCCATCCCCACTCCCAGGGTGCGCCCCGTACAAACTGCGGAAAACACAGCACAAAAGCAGGAACCAGACAAACAAAGCGCTGGGTATCCCCATCCTCCAATACGCAGCATAGCAAATTGACATTCTCCAGCACCGTAAAGCGCAAAGGGGTGACTTAAACCCATCACTCTTCGTATTCCTCAGGTATACCGTACTCAAGGAGGTTCCATAGCTCGTCGAGACTACTTACTGTCTCCGCCGGGCTCGCGACCCACCTATAGATAGTTAGTGAGCTCATCGCCCCCACACAAGGGAGAATATTTTTCACTTACACCGTCGTTCCAGCCATGCGTGCCTTAAAGTCGTTGTGTCCGGCCGATAGGAACTGGTCTGAAAAAGTTAGTGTCGCTAGTTATAACATAAATAAATATTTGCCATCCTCAGTACCCACCGCCAATGTGCAAAGTTTGATTTCCGGTAACATTCCCAAAGAATCTCTGACAGCACAGAACGCCAAGTCTTTTATCCCCAATATCAACGAATACATCGTTCCCACCATTGAACGCGCAGAACGGAAGCCTGCGGCCGATATCACTGAGCTCCAGGGTCTTTTGTACAGCAAGCACAGCTTCTTCCAGCTGTTCTCGCACAAACTTGACACCCGGAACAGCAGGTATAATCCCGACAGCTTTCTCCTTTCGGAGAACGGTAGCCTCTAGCTTCATGGTAGATATGGACTCCCTAAGAGCGATCTCTGCAATATCGAGGAGGTGTTGAATATCTGTTTCTGGCCAAGTGCGCATCTCGTCCAGCTCCCAATTCTCCCTTGGCTCGGCAATAAGGAGCGTTGGAGACGTAGGACAATATTTGTACAAGTAGGAGCTTTCCCCACCAAGTATGATGAGGTTGCTCTTTTGAGCTTCTGTCAAATCCTCCGAATCCTTGATGGCATCCAGAAGCCCGTGGAGGCGTTCCATATACTTCATACTATCGGTATATCCAGCTGCTGTCACAATGCCGATGCAGAGTCCCTTTTGCATCAGCCGGAGTATCTGTGGAATGACCGGGTTCGTGGGAATGAGGCATTGGCCGTCATCGTAGAGAGTAACATCTCCATCAAAGGTAACAAGCTTCAAGGGCCCATCCAAGGTTGTCAGAGACATGATTTGAGCGGTATTAAGAATCAACCTTATATCATTGAATGAAGGGGCAACGAATCGGCGATTAGAGATAGATCTGCGAGCATCTTGCGCTACAAAGGCCTTTTCGAGAAGCAGAGGAGTAAAGAAGGTTCCCACAGAAGGCACAAGAAACCGAAGCTTTGACCGTTCGGGGGTACCAGCGTTTTGACAGGTAACTTGAAGCTGTTAGTGGGCGAACAACAGGCGGGGGAAAATGTTTTCTTATTGCTATGATCATTAATAAGCTCCTCAACATCTTTCATGATTTCACAGTAGCGGCGGCGAGCTTCGACTGCCATGACCCGGAATGAAGCATCACCAGCCACGGCAGTGGGCTGGGAGTGTAGAACGAAAGGCACTGCCAATAGGCCCTTAATAAATTCGATGAGGGCATCACGGCGATGAGCCTTAAAGGAAGCAGGGAGTGGCATAGATCAGTACAACTATCCGACAGCTGGGAGACGAAGGAGAGGAGCAATTGAGAAACAAAAGGGGGAGGGGGGCGGTATTAGTATTATTTCACCTTAAGAGCATATTCGACACGATATCTGCGCACGTATGACCAAGCTGTTAGCTGAGCTTCAAAAACAGCAGATACAAGAGCCCACTATCCTTACCTAGTAGTCATTGCTATCGAGGGGGTAGGTCCGTGCTATCTAGCTAGCCGAGCGAGTGTTGATCAGTTCGAAGGTGCCAGAGCTCAGGCACGGTGTGGTATCTAAGAGTAGGGATGGAATACCGGCAATCAACGGAGTGATGAGTTGTTGGCCGTCACCGATACAGCAGCGTACTGGTCCTGGAGACAATAAGTACCGGTAGCAGGTAAGCACAGGTCGTGCAACAGGGGGCAAGAGGTAAGTATCGTACCCGTGAATATCAACAGGCGTGGTTATGTAGGTTTCACCTCCCGTATTGAGCTGTGGGGCAGACGCAGAATCAGCCGGGCGTGGTTCAGTACGTACTCGAATACAGCACCAGTTGATGACTGCAGTTATCGAGACGGTGAGAAGTAGGGAGGACAAAGGGGGATTGATTGTAGGCAACACCTCTGCGAGGATTGCATTCTGGATTCCGTTGCCAGAGTTGGGGGGGGGGGTTCGAGGGACTCCCCCGGCAAACCGAAGGAAGCCGCTAATTTGCTAATCGGTCAGCAAACCACAAACGGGCACGGTAGTCGTCATCTTGGTCACGCGCATTGGGCCCAGAAGTGAAGGAGCAAAGGATGTGCATCCCATGCCGGCAGTGGGCCCAGCGAAAAGGGGAAGAAAGCCTGGAGCTGCTGAGGTAATCGGATCTGCCAGGAACGGGATCATGCACGTCTGGTGGTGGTCGATTTCCGATATCGTTGCATCTTCCAAGGCAATTGGCGAGAGGTTGGACTCCGGCAGTTTCCCAGCAGCAAAGTGCGGTACTGTACCGGTATTGTACTGTACTCGTATCATACAGTACTGTACAAGTACCAAAGCTTCTTGTTCGCCCGAGCAATCCTGATGCTACAGTAAATTCATTCTTTCATTTCCTATGCTAGTACGAGTAGTACTACTTGTATACTCGAGTACAGCAAGCTCAGGCCTCCCTAGCTCTCCTGCCTCCCACGTCAATAAATACGGTAGCCGAGTACGGTACTGGTAACACTAGAAAAAAGGACCCCTGCAGTGCTTCCTCCCGTCGTATTCGTAGGGCTTTTAGTGAGGAATCTCCGTACTCGCCACCGTATCCGTACAAGGAAGCCAAGCTTTAGGCCTTTACAAGTACAAGTACGAGTACAGTTTAGCACTCCCGATTTCCAGAGAGGCTCCGCCGTCTTACCCAAAACAGAGAAAGTAGGGGTACCGTACTCGTACGGTAGGGATTCTCCCCTGATCCCCCTGTCACAACCCCTTTCCACCGTCACTGTACTTGTACGTTCCACCTCTTTATATATCGCCGTTATCCGTCATCTCCTTCCCCCTCTACAGCCCAACACCTGCACGCTCGCTGCATCAATTCCTCAGAGTTTTCTTCCCTCTATCCCTTCCACACTTGTCCCCAATAGTTTCACAGATCATCAACAATGGCACCAGCAAAGCTCGAAGCCGAAGACCACAACCGTGATGCCGCTTTCAATAGAGCCATGCACGGTAAGTCGGCCCAAGAGAAAGCCGGCTTTTTGGCTATGCTCGCGAAGGATAAGGGGGCTCAGGGTGCTGCTGTCGACGAGTACTTCAAGTTCTGGGATGGAAAGGGTGCCGGCCAGGAGACTGAGAAGGACATGAAGGTTAGTATTCCTAATGGATTACAATTATCGGCTTATATTGCAATTCTAACCCCGAAATTCTCAGGAACGTGTCGAGAGCTACGCTACATTGACCAGACAGTATGTTTCAACATCTCGCCCCGTGTTCTAAAATTGCCGGCACCTATGCAGGAACCGTGAGCTGACCTCCCGCAGTTATTATAATCTGGCCACGGATCTGTACGAGAACGGCTGGGGTCAATCTTTCCGTGAGCAACTCCTCGCACCTTTAGAAAAACTCGGGGATAGGGTTAACATCTCTCGACAGATTTCTGCCGCTTCTACCCCGGAGAACCCTTTTATCAGGCCATTGCCCGTCACGAACACTATTTGGCTCATATGATGGGTATGAAGGCAGGAATGAAAGTTCTTGATGTTGGGTGTGGGGTTGGTGGTCCTGCCAGGGAGATTGTCAGATTCACGGATGCCAATGTCACCGGATTGAACAACAACGACTACCAGATCGACAGAGCTACACAGTATGCAGCGAAAGCCGGATTGTCCCACAAACTAGTATGCTTCAAACAGTTGGTGCCAACCCATTCTGCCGACACCTACTAACACTGAGTTTCAGAACTTTGTCAAAGGAGACTTCATGCAAATGTCTTTTGAACCCGAGACCTTCGATGCCGTATATGCCATTGAGGCTACCGTACATGCTCCTAGTCTTGAGGGCGTCTATTCACAAATCTTCAAAGTGTTAAGGCCCGGCGGTGTTTTTGGAGTGTATGAGTGGCTTATGACCGACGAGTATGATCCCTCTAACGCCAAGCACCGTGAGATTTCCCACGGCATTGAAGTGTATGTTACCCTTTCGGCCTACTAGTAGGATTTTTAAGGGGTTAAAGTTAATAATCACCAGTGGCGACGGCATTTCAAAGATGGTCAAGATTCCGGAGGCTCTGCGTGCCATCAAAGCAGCTGGTTTCGAGCTTGAGTTCCATGAGGATCTTGCGCATAGGGGTGATGCCATCCCTTGGTACTACCCAATCGCCGGTGAGATGAAGTATGTCCGTACCCTCGGAGACTTCTTCACTGTTCTCCGAATGACCAAACTTGGTCGTGGGACGGTTCATAAACTTATCGGCGGATTGGAGACCGTAGGGGTCGCCCCTCATGGTACACAGAAGACTGCTCACTCTCTAGCTGTTGCCGCCGACTCTCTTGTCGCTGGAGCTCGGGTAGCTCTCCCTTTCTATTCTTTCTTATAGAAGCACGACTAATAATCTCTAGCTTAACCTTTTCACGCCCATGTACCTAATGGTTGCTCGCAAACCTATGAATTAGACGAATTGTGGGATATCTCTGTTGAGCAGTAAAAGGTGTTTTGGCAACGGTCTATAGAAAATATTAATACAGCATAGTCATAAGGAGTCACCTTCCTTTATCATGTATCTACTGTCGTTATGCCTGCTAGAGTAATAAAAACGGGTTAATGGGACAACTTTTGCTATGATATCCCGTTCTCACAGCACCGGATCTCTGGGGTTGGACCCAATAGGGTACTTTTGTACCGTATCATACTATCCCCATGACATTGCATAACACTACACTTTTTTTTGCACTGGATAACTTCAACTTCTACCTCAAACACCTTCGACCCCCGGCCCTTGTTACAGTGCTATATCAGTTCAGGTAGAGTTACACGTTGAGGCGTAAGGGAAATTCCCCATTTATCCCGACAGGCAAAAATTTGTGTAAATTCTGTTCGCCATAGTAAAAATTTGTCAAAACTTTGACCCATTCAATAACCTCCCCCCCCCCCCAATATCTGCTCTGCCGAGTGATGAATCATGGTTTGCAAATGCACATAATGTCGTTAACTTAGGTCCCACCCAAGCACAACTAACCAAACGCTCGTCCCGCGAACAAAAACAAAAAACCCAATCCTTGGGTAAACGCATGGACCCAGTGGGTACCTGTATAGAGTGGATGCGGGTGTCATAGGGTGGGAGCAGATTGTATAGTTGGCGCCACGGAAACGAGAGTCCATCTATGATACCCGTTTCTATTCCATATTATAGACTTTAATGCGATAAGGAAAAAAATGAATGGGTACTTTTTAGGGCACGAACATACAAGCCTATGCGCGATCTCGTTTTTTTCTCAAAACAGCTCAGGGGAAACCCCATTCCATCATCATCCCCTATAGATATAATTTAAGCTACAAAAACCTTGAAATCTTCCGCTTTTGCGCTTCCCTTCTTAACCAGCTCACCGACAGCTTCTGCCCATGTGCTCTTAACAGCGTCGGTACCCTTTACGCCACTGAGGTTCTTAGCGAGGGTTTGGAGATCCTCGTTGTCGATTTTAGAGATGACGAGATCGACCTCGCCAAGAACGCTGTCAATGACGGCGGGGGTTACGTCCCCAGATACAAAGTAGTTGACATCCTTGACAGAGCTCTTCAGAACACGCCTGTTCTTCTTGACGGCGTTCTTGGCCGCTTCCTTGGCCTTCTTGGAGTCGGCTTTTTGTGCTTTCTGCCTAGCTTCTTCCTCCTCCTTTCGCTTCTGATCCTCCTGGGCTTTGATACGGGCCTCCTCTGCGAGTCTCTTCTCCTCAGCTTCCCTAGCATCCTTCTTCGCGTTTCGCAGTTTCTTCTCTTCCTCACGGAATTTTTTGATTCGGGTGTCCAGGCTTAGAGCATCGTCGACAAGCTTGCGCAATCTAGCAGTATCCTCCGTCTTTCTCTTTGCGCGGGAGGCGTTGTTCTTACGTTGGATGTAACGCTTCTGGTCACGGTTTTCATTGTCATCTGGGACCTCCTCGTCGAGATATTCAAATGTACGCCAGGAATCGAAATTGTACCAGAAGTTGTAGAACTCCTCGACTTCAGCCTTGGTGGATTTATCATCTCCAAGCCTGGGTACCGGTTGCTTGCGAGAGAAACGACTTTCGGACTCGAAGACTGGTCCCCATCCCTTGTAAAAATTACCCTTAGACTTCTTACTAGGTGGATCACGGTTGGCTCCTTCGTCGACAGAATCGAATTGGCGGCGTTTGACAGGATCCGAGAGAACTTCCATGGCTATTGGAGATTTAGAAAAGAGGTAAAAAATTAAAAATTATGACCTACAGACCTTTTTGAATGCATTTAAAGAAAGAATCATCATCGACAGCTCCAAGAGCGGCTTTCTTGTCGGGGTGGTGCTTGAGAACCTTCTTACGGTGAGCCTTTTTGATTTGCTCGTCAGTAGCCTTGTAGCGGTATTTAGAGAGACCGAGAACTGCATAGTGATCTTGGTTCTAGAGTGAAATAATTAGGACTATCCAGCGATTAACATGAAGTTTCAAATCGATTTGTTACCTTCCAGTCCTTAGGATCACGAGAGAGCAACAGAGGGCTTTCAGCCTCACTGATCTCGCCAGTATCCTCATCCTCAACGCTCATCACATTCTGCTGAGCTTGGATCCGATCATCTTCGCTAAAAGTGCGGGAATGACGCTTCTAGGGATTTTAAAACAGGATGTTAGCTGTGCTAAAGAGGTGCGAGGGTATGATGCGGCTAGAAACACATACTCTACGGGCGTGCGCAAGGAAGTGGGGCCCCGCCGGTGAGAGATTTCGGTGAACTGCAGCAGAAAGTGGAGAGTGGACTATAAAGTTGCTCTTAGAGTTCCAATCCCCTGGAAGAGCGGGGAGCGGTTTTGAGATTTTCACTGAGGCCATCTTGGCTGTGATGAAAAAGGAGAAGCCGGGGGGGGGAGGGGGATTGTTGGATAGATAAAGACGGGGGGGACGGATTACTGGGTGGGGTGGAAATTCAATGTGGGTTGTGAGGAAAAAGGAAAAATTATCGTCTGCTGTGGTCAAGGCTGTCGGTTTCTAAACCCAAGGGTTCCTAAAGGAAAAATTGTGGAGGGTTGTTGTGGATCGGCTTCGGCGTAACAGAATTTATCTCTTGCCTTTTACCAGAGATAACCATGCGCTCGAGCACCAGCGATCCTTATGTAATCTTTGGAAACCCAATGGCAGCGAAGCGCGTTCGACTCCTGCATCTTTCTTTTTTTTTTTCCTCTAACATATTTTTTACGCGAGGAGAACGAGTGCCCTGCTTGTCGGTACCCTATCCTCCACGTGATAAAACCGTGACCTCAGCCAACCGAGCCATCTTTCCTTTCCGCGCAAACGCCCTGGACCGGTCAGGACCCGGCAGCTGTCTCAAACATGAACATCACAAAAATATTACAGCTATTTATTCCATTGTTCCCGTTGGTAATAGCTATACAGCCTTCAGCACAAAATCCAGTGGCAGGGCAGAGGTTTCGACACCTTGAATGGGGTCTGATTAACTTCTTGCACACTACAGACAAGTTCTCCTCCAACTCTGTTTTGAAGCTTCATGAGCCTAACCTGGGGGGCAAATAGTCATGGTTGGCATGCCGGGCATCTCCAGGAACCTCAGTATTCGGCGGACTTTGGGGACTATCTTTCACTCGTTTCGCATCTGAGGAACACCGCGGAAGAAAAGGGCGTGGATTTAATAGTCCTCGATACTGGTGACCGTGCCGAAGGTGAGAATCAGCCCGGGCACCTTCGAAGCATCACTAAAACGGCTATGATAGGGAATGGGCTATGGGATGCTACCGATCCCATGGGAAAATACACCCGGAACTTTTACAGAGAACTTCCTTTGGATATCCTCACTCTGGGGAACCATGAGTTGTATAACGGCACTACAGCTCGGAATGAATTTTTGGAGATGGTTTCTTTTTATGAGGTGGTATCCATTGGCCCTTGGTGATATGGTTGGGTGCTAATGTCTCATTGGAGCCTAAAGGGGAGATATCTTGCGGTAAGGGCTCACCTCCGAGAGGCATAAAGAGTGAATACTAACCCAGAGTTCAGTCGAATATTGATATAAACGTGACCGGAGATTGGGAACCCTTCGCAACTAGAATCCGCAAGTTTGTTACCGAGCAACAGGGCTTCAGAATTACTGCTTTCGGGTTTCTGTTCAACTTTACCAGGAACGATAAAAACACAAGAGTGAAGACGGTATGGATAATCGCGGTTTCCAGTGCTTTAGGTGAAGCTCACATGGCGTCGAGCCAGGCCGCAGACACGATCAAAGAATCCTGGTTCCAGGAAGGTATCCGCGATACAGACGTGGATCTGTTCGTGATTATCGGGCACGTAGATATCTACAGCATTGAGTTCACCCAGATTTTCGAAGCAATTCGTGAAGTTCACCCGGATATCCCGATTCAGTTCTTTGGCGGCCACTCGCATATCCGGAATTTCAGGATTTTGGACAACAAGTCTACAGCACTGGAATCAGGAAAGTACTTCGAAACTGTAGGATGGCTCAGCATCGATGGGATTAAGGCTCGAGAGGCCCCCGATAGCGCAGATAATACCTCGATGGTCGTTTCCAGGAGGTATATCGATGCAAATAGGGTTGGGTACCAGCATCACACGGGGAAGAATGCCACTACCTTTGACACCCCTCAAGGATTGCTGATGACAGAACGTCTTGCCAAATACCGTGCCGGTCTGGATCTTGACCGCCTTATCGGGTGCGCTCCGCAGGACTTTTCACTAAGCAAGTAGGTTCCATCGTCCCCCGGATCCCTTTTACCTGAGCTCTGGCGGCTTGATACCAACAGACTCGTCAGACATATATACCCTGGCCCACAGAACTGGTATAGCTACTTGGAAGAGCGCATTCTTCCAACCATGGTCTACAGCAAGGAAAGGGGTCAAGTCCCACGTTTTATATTCATCAACACTGGATCTCAGAGGTCTGATGTGTTCAAGGGTAAGCAACAGGGCATACCAACATCTGTCGAGATTGCCCACCCCTAATAAACGACACCAGGGCCCTTCACATACGACACCAGCTTCCTCGTTTCCCCATTCACCAGTAAGTTCGTCCATGCAAAGGACATCGACTACTCCATAGCCATCCACCTCCGAGACTTCTTCGAAAAGGACGTAGGCCCCTACAGATCCGACAAATCCGAGAACCCACTCGAAAACCGGCAGCAAGGCGCCGAAGAAGTAGACATCCAATCCTCACCATTATTAGTCGATCACCGCCAGGCGTCGCTCGCCCGCCACAAGCATACCAAAGTGATCGGTTACGCAACAACAGACGACGCAGGCACTGACGGCGACGACACGATCCACGTCCCGCTGAAGCGCTACCCGACCCCGCAGGTGATCCAGGGCAATGCGTCCTTCCCGGAGGACTGGGAATCCAACCCTCCGGCCACGATCGACCTTGTTTTCTTCGACTTCATCGCCTGGCACGTCGCGGCGGGGCTCAATGAGATTACGGGCACCGAGGACTACTCCACAAAGGACTTTTTGCCCTACATGGAGCAGGAGGATACGATGACCAGGTTGTTGTTGGATTATGTTGCCAAATATTGGGGGCGTGACTGTTAGGATTGTTGAGCAGTATTTGTAGGATATTGGGGCTTTCCTTTCGCGATTGGGATAAAACAGAGTGAATGTAATAATGGCTATCATACAACCCGCAGCACTTGTAAGTCTGTTGATTCCTTCTCCCCAAATATATCATACAACTGTGTGTTGGGGGGTTTTCAGCCAGTGCTAGCAGTTACCGATAGGGCAGTCCCAGAATTTCAATATCATAGATAATATCAGAAATCCAAAGTTCCCGTTTCAGTCATTAGCTCAAACCAGTATCATACCATGAAATTGACTTTCCATTCTCCGGTCCGTCCATTTCATTCAAATCCCACTCCCAAAGGAGAGAAGAGAGAGAAGAAAAACGCAATACAAGAAAAGAAAAGAAACAAAGGAAAAGGGCCGAAATAAGCAAGCTCCCTCTGAAACGGGAAAAAAGAAAAAAAGAAAAAAAAGAGGTCGCAAAAAAAGAGAACGACAAATATAATATAAGAACAACTGGTCACCCATCCATCCATCATTCCAATATCATTCCATTCTACCCCTCCTTCCTTCCTGCCCGTCCGTCCAATCCACCCCACCATCAAGAAAAGAAAAGAGAAAAGGCATAAAAATACGTACAATCCCCAGCTCAAAGCCATCCACAACAGCAATAATAATTATAAAAAGAGAAATAATAAGAGATAAGGATAAGAAAACCCCCTCCCAGAACCCATGAAAATAAGAAAAACAATCATCACAAGAGGTAAAAAAAGAACAGGAATAGAAAGAAAAAACCACCAACCAACCAAACCAATCGAACGCCGATTTGTCGAATAAACAAGCCTTATATCGCTGTTTGGCGCTCCGCGCCCCCTTCTCTTTCGCCATCAATGGGACACCGCAGGTGCATATGAATTGAACGAGTTAAGGGAGAGAAAGTGAAAAAGGAGATATGCATGATATGCATGATAATATCAATACAATTGTTTGCCAAAGAGAGAAAGGGGAAGCGAAACGAAAAGATAGGGATCCGTCACAGGGACATTCATTACTCTGGTTTTTTCGATTGATGCCCTTCTTGCCCCGCAGAATACGCTCCGGAGGTATGCGAAGGGTTATTAGATGGTTGGCTTGGAGGAGCAGTTGCTCGGGACAATGGAGTTTCTGAAAAACTGGAACGGAAGAAAAGAAGAAAGGTTTCTGAAGAGAAAATAGGATGATTGTTTTGTTTGCTTTTTTTTTTTTTTTTTGTTTGTTATAGTTTTCCCCCCTTATTCCCGCCTCGAGCCGGGATATGTTTGGGCCAAAGCCTTTCCGTTCGCTTTAGCTCCGGTTGGAAAGGACTATTTGAAGTTCTTGAACATATCGCTGTCAAGGCTCGAGAATCCACTCCCGAAGAGATCATCGGGAAGCTTGGGTGGGGGAGCAATCGATCGTACAATTGGCTTCCCGGCCGGATGGCGAAGAGGCAAGGTGTCGATGTTGCTCGGCGGCCGAACTTCCTGGACCGGGAAAGGAGCGGGCTGGATCTTGGACTTCTTCCACCAGGAGGTCTTCGACTTGACCGACCCACCGGAGGTCTTCCTCTTGCTGTCGCGAGACATGACGGAGCCCGTCGGCGACAATGGGCCCGAAAGGACAGAAGCTTTGTCGTCATCCTCAGCATGGTAAGAGGAATTCATGGAGACGCGAGATAGGAATCGACGCATCGAAGTGGGACGTCCAGGAGATTGAGGCGGGGTGGTGGTAGATGATGCGTCGGCGGACGAAGCTTCCAAATTTGAGGGAGACGCCGGTGGCCTTTCATCGTGAGAAGAGGCGGAAGAGGTTGGAGTTAGCTCTTCGGCGGGGACGTGGGGCAGATTTGTGCCCGAGGTAAGGGGTTCGAGGGGAGCGAGCGCCGGGAGTTGAAGTTGCGGGATACCGGTGGGGGGCGGCATTGTATCGAGTTATCTCCGTTTTTCTATTGAACCAGTGTGGCGGATTATTTATTCTATTCTATTCTATTCTTCAGAGGAATTGACGGGTGGTAAGGGGGGGGGACGGTGGTGAGCAAGGTGGAGGAGGGAGGCGTTGTAAGGTAAAGGCTCTGTCAGAAATGCTATTGCTGGGCAAACAAGCAAGAAGCAAAACAAGTGACGGCAGGACAGGGGCAAGGTACGTACAAGTAGAGCTGTGGAAGGGGGGCCGTTTGAGCGTGCGACGACCTATTCTCCGCGTAAGATGCTCGACGGCAGGGAGAGGGCAAGGTGAAAGCCGGGGGAGACGGCAGCAATTGGACTGGATCGGTTGCCAAAGGGACGTGCTAGCACTCGTACAGTACTCGTACAGTACGGTGAAGGTGGGAGGCGGTAATGTAGGAGAAAACCGAGGCGGGAGAAGAAGAGAAAGGGCGCCGCGAGGATGGCGTTGTCGTGTTTTTTCGTTTTTGTTTTTTTACCCCTTCCGTGGGCTACCGTTGAGGGTGTGGATAGTTGCACACAAAAGGCCGCATGTGAGCCGGGGACATTGTATGGGCGAAAGGTCCAACTGGGATGGCTGGCTAAGCCGTGCAGGGCAAAGGGCTTGCCGGGAGGGCGCGAGCGAGAAAGGAGTTGATGGAAAGAAGGATTCCGAACAGAGAGGGAGAAAATGGTCCCTTGGCTTTTTCCCTTCAAAAGTGACAAGTCAAACTCCCCAGGCTAGAACTAAAGAGCTACGAACCTGTACTGTACTTGCGCAGGCACAAGTGACGGCTGCCGGTGCCGTTGCCCATCACGGAAACAGCGTGGAGAAGGAGACGGAGAGAGAGATGTGCCGAGGGGTCGCTCATCGCGATGATTGGCGATTGAATGTTCGTACGGTACGATACCAGGTGTGAAGGGGTGGCGATGCTTTGGCTGTTCTCACGGCGCGATGCATTTCAATCTCCCCCACCCATCCGGCGTGGCGAGAATAACTATGATACTGTTCAATGGAAAGCCTCTCCATCACAGCGTGCCCACTGCCCTCTCTACATTCTACGATCGACCGCTGAAGCCGGTATCATACTCCCCCGTTGTGCGGTGTCCAGTCCAGTCTGTCGGTGGTTGACCTCCCCCACCGGTAAGCCACCGGTACTCGTAAGGGCACGGCATATGACACCATAACACAAACCGAATCACCGCGAGCCAGTGGATTACGGTGCTCAACCCCTAGGTTCGGGATCTCCGCTTGGAGAGGGGGAAGGGGATCGGGATTCTGAGTTTGACCACGGAAAGGCGCATCATGGGAGTTGCAATGCAAGGACACAAGGACACTCAGGCTTTTCCGCTCTCCCACCCACTCGCCCGTTTATTATGATACCTTGAGATGCTGGGAAGTCATGCTGCAAGGGGCACAGGGAGGGCCGCCCCTTTGTCCTATCACAACCGCGGAACCTATCAAAGATCTTATCTTATCGAAAGCTTACCTTTAAAACCAGCGGACCGTTTCCTGCGGTGTGACCGTGATACCGGTTCAGCAGCAGGCCAGATCTCCGCCTCGGTGGATAACGCGTTTGATTGGCCAACCGTGATTAATCGTGTTTTATGATTGCTGGTGCGCTTCTGACCAAACAACCCAGTCACGGGTGTCCAACTCATGATGATACGGACGGGGTACCAACACGTTCAAGCGAGACAGCTTCGGCCATCTGGTTGGCCAAGACCACCCGGCAGGGAGCCGACGTTCAGCGAATAATGACCTGCTGTCCAAGTTTGAATCGTGTTGGGGAGTTATCAACCCCAGCGGCCGGCCGGGCCCTGCAATTTATCTTGTCGGGCAGTCTTTCACCTGTGATACCACTGTGATCGAATATCCGAGTGATCGACCGTGGAGGATAAATTGGATGGTTAGGACCCGAACGATCCCGCATCATACAGGTATTTTGACAGCGAATCACCGATCCTTACGATACACCGGAGCCGGGTTACTTGTGGCTTAAGTTAGTGATTACGGCGGGTTACCGTTACCGTTACCGTACTGTGGGCTCGAGTGGAACGCCACGGTGTCACTACCGAGGAAGCTCTCCTGCTGGAATTTGGCTTGAGGGTTCACCAACCGCTCCTCCTTTGTACCGGTACGAGTATAATATGGATTACTCGATTATGCCTGTACAAGTACGATAGCCAATTGCCGGTCTGATACCGTACGCCCGATATCGTCAAACATCACGAATGGCCAGAATGCCGTACAGTAGGTACCGTACATATAGTACCGGTATCAAACGGGGGTGTACCCGCCAAGCTTATTGGTTGCCTCGCCGTTTGACGGGCCTGGGGAGAATACCGTGCTCGAGCAGCATCCCAGTCCCGGATCTCGCCCGGCCGCCTTTTCATGCGGCTGCATCCAATCGATGAGACAAAACCCCCCCCCCCCAAGTTCCTCCCACCATCCATCCGCTCCTAACTGTGCGGGTACGGTGCTCGAGTAGGTACCGTACCGTACGAGTATGATATGATACAAGTGGGGAGATCCGTTTTTAGACCCCAAACCATTCCTCCTCCTCCCCCCCCCCACCCCTCGAGCGAACCCGCGAAACAGCGCACAGATCACATCATCCTTCCCCCAAAATGGGGCATCCTCATCACGATCCCAACGCCAAGCCCCTATCTTGGCACCTCCCCCTTCAAACCCTAAACCAACGACTCACAGCACCACCACGCACCCATCTCTGACTGAGCCTTCTCGCTCTTTCAATGTCATCCGCACCCCCCACGCCGCCAAAGAACTTGTACATCTGTATCGAATGCTCTTCACCGGTGCAATCGCTCTACACGGCTTACTCATCCGCCGATGACTGCTCCCTGGGACGCGGCGTGAGACTCACGCAGTGTCCGAGGTGCAAGAGGTTTGCTGACAAGTATGTTGAGCATGACTTTGTTGTGCTGTTCATTGACTTGGTGTTGATTAAGCCTCAGGTGCCGATTCATGAACCCGGGGAGGGGAGGGGATTGATGGGTAACTGATTTAGGGTGGTTAGGTCTATAGACACTTACTGTTTAACCGGCTGGGGAGGGAGGATGATAGATTCGAGGCATGTAGACTTCAGTGATGAAGGGGGGGACCCCGCTACTAATAAATGCTTGCTCTAGCCGTCCATAATCCGCCTCGGATTCCTCCTCCTCCTCTTCGACGTGTACCTGACCTGGGCGCGTATTGAAAGGAATATACCAACCGACCCACTAAACACCTCCGCATTCGGGATCCTAACTCAACGGCCAATAGTCGTACAATACCTCTTCTTCCGTACCTATCCCCCTCTCACCCACCCTCCTCTACCCCCCCCCCCCCAAACTTCTAACCCCTGCTAGTCCTCCTCTGCCTCACGGAATCCCTCCTCTTTCACCTCACGATCCGCCTAATAAGTCAATACCTTCTTGGCGCAACCCGCCCCAACGCCGTCTCAACAGCACTGATAGTATCCTCCTGCACGAAGCTCTTCCCGATACTGATGGTGATATGGAACTATGAGGTCCCCGCCGCGGCGAAGTCGGTGGGCTGGGCGGTCGTCGTTAATAATGTTGAAGCATTGCGGATCTCGCTGGGGATAGATTACTTTCGCGCCGCAGGGCTCGCGGGGGCTGGAGCTGTGGTCAGAGCTGTTGCGAGTCAGACGATATTGGGCTGGACGGGACTGTTGGGTGATAGTGATCGGTGGGGCGGGATGGGGGTTGGGATCGAAGAGTGGGTTGGCAGGTTGGGATTGGGCAAATGACAATGGGGCGTGTGGGGTGGTTTTTTGTTTTTTTTTTTTGTTCTCTGGGGTTAAGGATGGATATAAATGGTGGGGGTGTAGTAAACAGTATTACATGAACGATACCATGAAACTTATAGATTTTGATTGTTATCACAATAGAAGACTACGTATCACCTTCAATTTACGGACCGGATCCAAGACGGGATCCTAGCAACAACCACCTCATCCATCATACCAACTTCGGGATGTTCGTGCGTCCAAGTTCTTAAATTTACAAGGGCGCGACTTGAACGTCGAGGTGCACCCGCCTACCTGTATCGCTGCGGTGCTTGCGTCTCCCCCCACCCCCCCTCCTCTCTCTCTCGATAAACTCGACGCACACTCACGTCTACACTCACGGCTCTTCTACCCCTCGCCCGAGAGAGCGTCGTGACGCCGAGTGACATACCATGAGTGCACGTATTGCAAATTACCCGCTTTCGTTAAATTTTATAGCCTCATACACCACTCCCTTCCCCCGGGCACAGCTTAATGGCAGTGAAAATGGTAGTGATAAAAAAAAATTGGTGATGGTAATGATAAAAGGGATATAATTGAACGCGCCAGCTACCATAAAGATCCACGTCAGCTTAAAAGAAAGCGCACCAACCGATATACATGGCGCTTAGATTCGCCGGATCAACCGCCTCCCGCAGCAACTGCTCCACCTGCCCTTCAACGCTCAACGGCATCGTCTCATCCCTATACAACCCCTGCAGCTTACTCCGGATGCTCTCGAGCACAGCCTTCGGCGTATCTGGAATCTTGGCGTTGGCCGGCTTCCTCCTGACCTTCTTGACCATGTCTACGGCGGGATCGTGTATGAACGTCTCGAGCAACGTGAGGAGGGTATCCTCGTTGATCCTGAGCACCCTCATGGCGTTCTCGCACGTCCTGCGGAACACGCCCTCGTAACCGGTGACGCCAAGCGCGTCCACCATGTTCTGTGTCAAGCGGAAGGGCACCTTTTCCGGCTTCTCGAAGGACAGGCCCTTGTCGAAGAGGCAGTTGAAGTCGACGTGCAACGTGTCGCCCGTAGACTCGTCGAAGAGGATGTTCTCGCCGTGCCGGTCGCCGAGCCCCAGCACGTACCCGACCATCGACATCACGGCCGACGTGCGCGAGTAGGCGAGTCGGCTGGCGAGCCATGCCGAGGGCTCGGAGAAGAGTTCCGCGAACCATTCGTGGAAGACTGGGGGGAATTTGGGGAGGATTTCATCAGTGAAGGTGGCCATTCTTGTGGCCTGCGAGCAGTTGATTTCGAGGCGCTGGCGGATCTTGGGGTACTTTGTGCACTTGTTAGTCATTTGTGGGCGGGGAAGGAAGGGAAGAAGGAAGGGGGGAACGTACATCTACGATCATTTTCTTAGATTTGTAGTAGGTGAGCAATATCTCGCGCAACGTCCGGACGCCGTTTACCCATTCGATTAGTCCACATTCTTCATTTAGGGGGGTGACGCTGTATGTTCTGATGTCTGCATCGGAATTGTCAGCGGGGCTCTATATACAAGGATGAAGAGTGAATCGAGAACGCACACATCCGACGTCGGCTGGAATCAGGATCCTTCTTCAAGAACCTATTGATCATACTATTGAACTCCATCAAGCGCGCATCTTTACGCAAGTCGTCCTTCGGCTTGCATAAGAAGCCGTAAAGCCTTCCATCAGTGCCCCGGATCTTGATCTTTCTCGGCTTCTGCAAAGAATTCATGACATCGGCCTCCTCCTCGATGCCTGCAACGCATATTAGTCGGCCAGTCGTCAAAACGCGCAAAAGGAATGGATTAAGCTTACTCAAAATAGTGGGCAGGTGGCTCGGGAACGGTGAGTGCGTCTTTATAGTATCCGGAACAGACGGGAGCGTAACCGCAAGCATAACCTGCGTGGGCACCACAAGCGCACAAGGCGCGCATTTGTGATTGAAGCCATGCTCCTTAATAGTGATGGTTGTGGGAGCCTTCAAGCCTAGCAACTCGACATTGGAAATGTGCAAGAGCTGGTCCGTCAATTTGTTCGCTTGGAGGATTAGGCTTCTTACGTCTAGACCGCTTTCGTCCCGGCTTTTGGTCAAGGTGTCTTTTAGGTGGTTCATGATGCGCAAGCCACGGCTGGCCCTGTCTCGGGCAGTGGACCTGCAGACCGCCGTGAGGGACCATAGTGCCTGCTGCGGATTTCCAGCGACTACTTTGACGATGATGCCATGCAACAGCTCGTAGACCGATTCTTGGGAGTGGGCAATCCGGGAGAGCATTTGTGGAAGGGCGGTGAGGAATACCCAGGGGGGTAAGCGCTCGCTGTATCTCTTTATGGAACTGTGCAGGAGTTTCAAGCACTTGCCGCGTTCTCTCTGTATATGGCTGCGGAATTCCTCGTTGCCATATTTGGTGTCGATGGTCTGGTCTACGATCTCTCCCAATGTGAGCCAGAGAGTGAGAAGCTTGGGCATTGTTTGGAAGATATATTTCGTCCCGAACATCAGGGCACGCAAGTAATTCTGGCAGACCAGTCTTGCGTACTCGCCAGATAAGAATGGCTGCGTTTGCTTAATCGGCGGGAGTGCCTTTTCAGCTTCGTACAACTTGTTGTAGTGCCGTCCGAGGTAGTAATGTCCTTGCTCCCATCTCACATGCGAATCCTTGGCAGTGCAGTATTTGGAGACGATCTCGGTGGAGTGCGTCTGGCCAGCACCGTCTAGCCATCGAGCAAGCAAAAGTGAAGCCTTTGCCATGACATAGCTCTGAGGTTGTGGGTGAACACCCGAATTATGAACGCTAGAATCATGAAGTTGTTCCTGGGAGCTTCCCTGGAGAAGGTTGGAGTTAATTGCCCCTTCAAGATTCGAAATTGCCTTTCGGTGTTGCCCACCGAGCCATAGTAACTTGGCATGCTCAACCGTCGCAAGCGGAGCACCAAGCCGGGAGGCGTGAAGTACCGAATTAAACGATTGAGGGATCTGACCATTCTTTCGTGCTAAACGCGCTCCTATGAGCCAGGTAGAGGCAATACTGTCCGTAACAAGTTCAGGAGCGCTACAAATGCGTTAGATAAACCAACAGAAATTAAGGTCGACAGAAAATGACATCACCTGGAAAGAACAAATGCCGCTCTTCTTAGAGCCAAAAGATGCTGTTTATCCTTTGAGTACGTCCCCAAGACATCCAAGCGCCGCCGAAGATTCGACGCAAGCACATCCTTCCCAAAATCCTTACTTGCCAATGCAGTGCTAATCTCTTCAAGCTCCGACAGCGCATGTAACTTAACCATGGACTCGTGACATTGGCGCAGGGAGCCCGTAAAAGACTCCGTTAACCCACTCAGAACACACTCCCGGGCTAGAGAGATTGCTTTCGCAAATGTCCCACTGTCACGTCTACGCAGAGCACGTAGGGCGTTACCAACCCTAAGTTCATAGAGGTTCTCTGTGTGCTCATTGGATTTCGCAAGGTTTCTCTCAAGGACATCCCATTTACCGGATATCCAAGCTGCCTCGACTGCATAGCGTAGGATTCTAGGTCGGGTGTTGGGGTATTTTTCCATCATGCCTTCAGTTTGGCTTAAGAGCATTTCTGGGGACTCAGTCAGCATGATACATTCGTGGTATGGGGTGGAACTCACCGTGTTGTCCAGACTCCCTCAAGCAATCCAGAAGGTTTATCTGCGCCTCAGGATCATCAGGTTTCTCGCTCAAAAGAATCTCATACCAACTCTGCGCCGCGGTCCATCGCCCAGCCTTCCTATGTTCAAGTATCTGCTGGTCAAAATTGAGGACGTGCAGCTTTGTGGAAATCCCTTCGATACCATCGGGCTCGTCGATCTGCGTATAAATACGTTGAAGCTGCTCGTACAACGGATCCATTGGCACCTCTTCCTTCGCAACCCTCACTTTCCTTATGTGTTGCTCCCAATAGAAGAGCGCTCGTGCGTATGAATTACATTCGACGGACCGCAAACTCATGGTGTCTGATGGGATGGCGGAGATGACATCTTCTACCCGCGCTATTGCAATGTCTTGGTCATATATTTCATCGGGAGCCAAGCTTCTGTTCTGTTGTCTGGCTTGTTGGTTTTTCATATTTAGGTTGAATTGCTTTTTGTCGCGGAGCCAGCGAGTTAAGTGGTCGACGAGTTGGAATACGGTCTATACCAATAGCCACCGTGAGTCTGTCTCCGGTTTGTGGCACCGATGGAGAAAGGGATACTCACATCACTACACTGTCTCAAGGTCTCCCGAGCCATCGGTTTCTCCAATGCATTCTTGGGTGCCGGCGCAAGGACAGCGTGAAGCTCCTTGACAATATTCCCCCTATCCAGATCCGTCCCACTAATAATGACGTTCAGCGTAACATACGGTAGCAAAAACATTGAGATTGAGATATCCTGTCCCTTGACAATAGACTTACAAACCGTGAATATGTTCGCCGCATTATCCCCCGTCGACTTGGAAAGTAAGTCCAACAACCACTTCGTAAGCCAGGCACGGTGAGTGATTTTGAGTGAAAACACCGGATACGAGCAGGGCTGTACAGAGTTATTGATCTGTAGAGAATACCTCGACCTCAAGAAGGGTGTGAGTATGCTTTTGGCCGTTTGGCTAAAGGAGTCCCATCTCCGCTGGCCTGTCTGCGCTATGGGGCCGGGGCCATCATGGCGGGATCGTAGGATAACTGTAGACTCTACGTCAATGAACTTTAACAGTTCTTGCATTCCGAAGGCAAGGAATCCCTGAGCTTTTGTATCTGTCGCAGACAAGAACGCCTTTACGAGCCTCTCTTCAAGAAAAAAAATTACAAATGCAATACTCTCGTCCGCACGATTGAAGTTGTGCAGAACCATCATGTCCCGCTTTTCCCGTGGGGCCTCTACTCGGTTAGGATCCACCGCCCCAATGAGACCCAAGCACTCTGCACATAGGTGTTCAATCCTAGGCTTCGAGGACGAATTCGAGTCCTTAAAGGCAACAATCACGTCAAGGAGAGTCCGGATCAACTCAGGAACCGCTACGTCGGGCTGTTCGTTGATGGCCGCCGTGTGTATAAAGTCCTGGTGTTTCTTCAGAAACTCGGAAAGCTCTGCTAACGCCTGCTCGACGACAGATACGTTCTCATGTCGGCATCGGCGGGCTAGCAAGTGATAATGATCTCGTATCTCCAGGGTTCGCACTGCCTTAAGTCTCTCCTCGAATGGAGCGAGAATTGGTATCGCTGCTAGCGAAGGTATGATGTCTAGACTTTGCTTGATGACGCCGGTCTTCTCGAACAACTCTTTTATCATTTCCACTGCTTTAGTCTGAGAAACCTGCTCAAGGCTATCCCAGTACCGCAGGACTACGGAGAATGTTTGACCCAACAAAGGCGCGGTTTCAGTGGGTTCTAGGACTCTCATCATAACAGTCCAAGCCGAAAATGCACTAGCTCTCAATGGCTCGAATTCCAACGCCTCTTGTAAGCAGGCACATATCTTCAAGTAATCAATTAATCAGCATTTCTCCCGATATTGGACAAATGGAAATCAGAATGCACCTGTGGTACTGCACTGCTAACGCTGCCTCTAGCTAGCTTCACCATTTCTTCAATCGCCCTCATGATTCGAATTTTCTCTGGGGTTGATAACTTTCCCTTGATATCCTTCAGATAATCATTAAAAGTAGCGAATATACCAAGGACGTTCGTCTCAAAGAATACTTCTAAGTGGTCGACCTTATTTCTCCTTGAGCCCGCCACTTTTTTATATGTCAGTGTCGCCACGAGTCGCAACGCATGGAAGATCTGCCGCTAGGTATCAGCTACCATCTCTCGGAATTATCGAACCGAAGGCGTATATGCAAACCCTAACTTTCCTGTCTTCATCCGCATCCACAGCAGCCTTTAGCAGTTCTGTAGCGAGAGACATCGCATCAGGCCTGGCAATCTCCCCCAGCGATATATCTTTAAACTCAGCAGTAGCGTGCGCCAGCAAATGCAACGTAAACGCCTCGACATTGTCGGCTTCCTGTGTTAGAAGTAGAGCTAATATGTGCGCCATATTCGACAATGCCAGAGACACCACATCTGTCTTGCAAGCTTGGGCAACCCTCTCGACGAGCTCTGGCCTCTTCCAGAGGATGAGATATGGTACAGTGTAGCCCTGCGTCGTCTTCAAAAAATCCGAGAGCTCCATTCCGACTACTTCCGATAGCAATTGGGCTATCTGAGGTTTCGATTGGAGCTGCTTGACTACGCCGACGCTGATGCTGGGCCAGAACGGCGAAAACATTTTACCGGGTGAGATGCCGTGCGTTCGAGCCAATGATTGAATCTAAACCCGTCAATGTGACTGCATATCAACGCGTCCAAGGGACTACCCACCTCGTTAAAAGCCAATCCAAGAATGAACGAGTTACTGTGCCCGAGGTACTCCACCAGCCGGATTAGCGCGAGGTTTAGTTCTTCATCAGATGACACCCTGTGAATCAGTTAGCTTAGGCACGGGGCACCCATAACCCATACGGAAAGAGAAAAGCTATTAAGGCACATACCTTCCGAATTGACTCCACGCTAACACACAGGTCTCTTGAAGCTGCCCCTCATCATTGTCGGACAACGTCCTCAAGAACTCGATAATCATAATCCGATTCATCCGAAGAAGCTCTTGGCCGTCTTTAAAGCTAACATACGACGGTAAGGTACGCCTTGAGCACACAAACGTCAGCAAAACCAGCTTCCAAACAACAATAACTTATTGAAGGTAATACAACATACCCAGCAGCAACCCTCAAAAGCCTCCTAGAACTTTGCAAAGCATTCAAACACCACTTCCCCATCGCCGTCTCTGCTAGATCCAACCTTGCCAAGTCCTGCGTATGATTCAACAACCGTCGGAGGCTGATCATGGCCCACACACGAACAGAGGTTGATGCCTGAAATTCCTCGAGTTTTTGAATTACGTCCAGAGTCTTAAACAGCTCCTCACCCCCCTGGGAACAGCTCCTCCCCGATGCCGTCGCCTGCAGAGTATCTGCATCGCAGTATGAACACTTATACAAATTGAAGCCCCTTTGCGCGCCGAATGATTCGGATACCCGGGCAAGCGTTCCAGCGAGTGCGCATGATAGGAAACCGAGGGACTTTAGGGCTGTACAGCGTTCTTCTTCTCCCAGCCTTTTAAAGCCTTCGGCAGCGACAAGACTTAGCCCCTGGAGGTCATCTGCGTCTTGGTGCCCGAGCAGTTTATACACATCGAATGTTAGAGTGCGGGCTTCGGTACCGGGCTCGCCTTTGGATAGTCTGGGTCGCTTTCGAGGGCCAATGTTATTGTCTAGTTCTTCCCCGGGTTTGGTGTCTCCGATTGTGTGGGGATGTTCCGAGAACTGTCGCAGTTTCTCATCTTTGAATACCCATCCACCCCCAGTGGCTAATTGAAGACACTTATTTGCGCGCTCTAGGATTACTGGGTCATCGGCGAAACCAACGGCCAATCGAAGCATCACCACCTATTCCCGGTCAGGTTAGCCAAATGCACTCATCGGTGCTAGGTTTGGCGTACATGCCCGAAGATCTTCTGTCAATAGCCCCCAGCTACCCCCTTCCCTATCACTCATAATCAAGATGATTGGAGGGTATACTCTCTCTCGCAATGCCTTATGGATGGTGGCAGAAACCTCTGCAGCGCATAGCAGCCCTAAAATTATCTTTGCCAAGGTATTCTCTGCACTCTGGTTTATCTGAGATATCGACTTGGTCAAGACATCGCCAACACAGTGGATAGCAAGTAAACAAACACCCTTAATCCTGCTTCTTCCATAGCGCGTCTTCACGACATCCCCTAGGGAATTCGCTAGCGTCTCCAATATCCTTAGCCGGATTGTGCCCACTCTCTCATACAACGCCGGGAGAGACTCCCAGGTGTTAAGGCTCATCCAGAGATTCTGCATCTCCTGTACAAAATATATCAAGCTATCTGAGGCGCTTCTGAATGCCGGTATATCACTACTCTGGGCAGGCAACGCAGAGATCGCAGAAAACAGATGGACAACCAAAAAGGCCGCGTGGTCGGCATCCCGAATAACAAAACTAACCATCTGGCGGGAAAAGTGCTTGAAACCCTCCGGTAGCATTAAGGGATCAACGGTAAAGCCCTTATCCGGTAACTCAAGTCTGTAGGACTTGGATAGGGCAGCGGTTATGGCGGGCGCCTTCTGGAAAGACTCGAGGATACCTTTAGCATTTCAAGGAATTTCACAGTTCGCGAAGATTAGTTTCAAGTTTTATTATGATGTTGATAAACACGTTCTCGCGGGGGTGAAGCAGAGCAAGAAAGGGAAAGAATAGAAGGAAAAGGAAAAGGAAAGAGAGAGAGAGAAATGATTACAATTCACACAGCTCCGAAAATACCCCACCATAACCATGACGCTCTTCCATTCCCTGGGCAGGCTTGCAGCCGCATAAAAGATGGCATAAATGGTTTCAAGCAGCTCCTGCACAAGCGGTTCGGCGGGTCTATGCCCAAGAAGCGGGAGTAACTTGGACAGCAACCAAAGATACAACAACGGCTGTTCCGACTCGGTGGTAGAATCCGGTGGCGGCCTAAACAGTACCAGGGGCGTCTCCTTGATGGTCAAACGTAGGACCAAGAGACTATTACTTGCTTGCTCGGTTAGATTTTGAGTGGGGGCAAAGGGGTCTTCTCGCAGCAGGACGCTGACACCGGCATCCACGACCGCCGTGATCACTTTATAATTGACCAAGAGCGTATCTTCTAGGGACGAGCTCCCGGTCGGGTCAGTGACCTCGTGGGAGATCACTTCCGCAAATAGCTGCTGCAGGAAATCGGGCCCGGGGGAGCCATTTCCGGTCCTTGGGAGGTTCTGAAAGATGACGGCGATGGAGGATGGGGGTAGGGGTTGTTGGGAGCCCCCGGCGGCGGCGATGTAGTCAGCGATGGGCACTGGTGGCGGAGCCATAGCGCCTATAGCAGCAATTCGTTTCCTGCGGGCGGACATTTAAGCAAATTCGGTGTTCTTCTCCTTTGTTTGTCCTTGGTTTGTCCTCGTCCCCTTTTCCACTGTTGTTTGTTGTTGTTAGCTATCACGTCCCATGAGACGTCGAGTTTGGAGCTTGTGCAGGGAGACGCGTTGAGGGAAACCTAATCCCTTGGCATTGATGTTCGTCAAGAAATGCCTTGGCGAAATCTGCCCTTTATTTGGGGCGGCTATCATACGTAATACGGCAGATCTGCCCACCATAATCGCACGTCTACAAGGGAACTCAACGAGACAGTACTACTACCGTACAGCCTCCCCGAATTGACCTCATATCAAGGGGCCAGTGTGGGGGCTGCTCGCTACAAATACTCGAGTACCTTCCAAAGATGTCACGACGTCATATCGCCCCTGTCAAAAAAGGGGGCTTGCTCTCCTCGTACTCGTATGAGAAAGTAAACTCGCAAAACCTACCCCAACACCATCATACCTTCTTAGTCAGGTGACCGCAATAGAATAAGAGACTGGATTTAGAGCAAACAACTGCGACATCCCGGAATACAGATGCGCATGTACCGTACTCGTAGAGGTGATAAATGCCTCTCGGAGAGGTGCCGGAATATATTAGACAATTTAGTGGAGAGCACTGAACATCGATAGGTGGGGGCCAAGACCAGGTGTGGGGCTTCCTGACACCCCTTGCCCCCTGGAGCAGCGGCCCCCCATTTCACCCTGTTTTTGTCTTTCGGGAAGGGGGGGATTTCATGTTGACCATTTCGCAAGATTTTGAGCCATCATTTGCCGAAATCCTAGGGGTCCAACTTGTGCCCCCCAGACTGGTGGAACATCAAGATCTGGCGAGTGACCAATCATGACGTTCGCCGAGAGTTACACTATTGTAAGGGCATTAAGCACCGTCATGCAAGATATCCAGAAAGCCCTGCAAGGGCATGCTGTTGCCGCAGGAGAGCACAGAGGCTATTACAAGGTGTGGTAAAGTGGCTTGATCTCGGTGCGCTGTGTGTATGTAGGAAGTTATTTCTACGTTGTAATATGTGCTTTCTGCTCTGGTAGACTAGGACAGGTTGTCCATCTATCGATTAGCCTCTAGAAGGCAATGGTGAGAATCGAAGCGAAAATTCAAAATCATTTCCGCCTCCCTCCTCCTGCCCCCTATCAGGGTAGCAGGGCATTCGCCTTAGTTTCTCTCGGGATAGCTCTAGCGCATACCGGAAAAAATATCAGTACTCTTTCCGGAAGACATTATGAAGCTGCAATTACCCAACAGGCGAATACAAGGAAAAGCGCATGGTATTGGATGGCCTGGAGTTGCCATGACACAAAAGAGGTATCAGGATACGAGTAAAAAGTAAAATAAAAATAGAAGTAGAAATAAAATAAAAAATATCATACAGTCAATCAACATATGTTCTTGCCGGAATTCACATCCTTCAAGAATCAAGTGACATGAGCAACTTTTTTCAACCCATGGGTACATGAAAGAAGGTATAAAATAGGAAACAATAACGGAAACCGTGAAAACAAGAAGCGAGAAACCAGGGATGCCACCAAGTCAGAATTCCCGCTGCGAGGAAGATGGTATAGGAGCATAAAGAAAACTGTATTAAACAACGCCATCGCCAAAGAGAAAGGGGAAACGAAAGGAAAGGAGAACGGAAGAAAATAAAAGCTGTATTTGTAAAGGGAAAATAGGGGGCGAGGACCATGAATCCTCCTCCGTAATTCCGTGGAAAAAAAAACAGAAAACAAAAACAATCGACTCAACGAAAAAAAAATGCCAAGTTTTTGCAATGCAAGCCCGCCAGTGTACACCAAAACACAAACAAACCAGCCCAAAAGAGAAAACCTACGCCTTCCGTTTCCCGGAATCTAATGGACTCTGCCTTGCGAACCACTCTAAGACAGTCTCGTAACACAGTACAAACTGTCTCAAGCTCTGTACCATTGAAAGCCTTTGGTCGCGGAAGTCACTGACGACCTTGGAGATCAAGTCCTCATCGTCGCGATCCAGCCAAGAATTTTCGCCCTCATCGTTAAGCTCCAGTTTCTTCATCCCGACTTGCCCTTCCCCATCGGAACCCCCAGAAGAATTCTCTTCCTTGTTTCTCTTCTTCTGCAAACGCTGGCGTCGCAATAGGCTTAGCACCGAATCTACCGCACAAAATGTTCCTGTACGCCCACAGCCAGCACTACAGTGCACTAGGACAGGCCTACTCTGGGCAGCTGCAGCGGATTCTGCGGAAAAGGGGGAATTGGTCGCAGGCTGTGTGGACCTGACAACAGCATCGGTGTGTTCAATGAGTCCGAGAATGTGAGCAGGGTGGGCGGGCGCCCCAAAGTCTGGCCATGAAGAATATTGGAGTTGAGTGATCTCGCGCATAGGAGAAAAGGGATGTTCGACATGTTCGAGTGTAAATTTGCGAACCAGAATAAATGGCACGTTGAGATCAGGCGAAGCAGGTCCGTTCAAGGCCGTCCCAACGGATCGCCTCTTTGGGCTTGTCTTTAAGAACGATGGATCAAGTGAGACACGACGCTCCGATAGGGATGTAAGCTTTAATGGGCCATAATTTTTTGGTTCCCAATATCTATGACTCTTGACTTGGCCACCTTCCTCCTCGGCCGTCAACATAACAATCACTCGTACATCTTGTTCCCAAACCATACTCCAGAAATCCTGAAGACATGTCAGCATCATAAACACAATAGGATCACAGGGCGAAACTTACCCTAAAGGTCGTCGGTAACGGAGCCTGAGAGGCGATATACCTCTTTGGTGCATACTGAGCCGATACATGACTAGCATTTACATAGTCGCATTCATCCTTGGGATAATCGAGTAGCCTAACTCTAGCATGGTCATATGGCCAGATATTATTGTACCTATTCTTAGTTCCCTTTTCGACCCCGGCCAAGGTGTGTGGCTTCACGGCGGTCGACGTAGGAGAGTCATAGACCACTGAAATATTCAAGGCCTCCTGCATCCTTTCTCTCTCCGCCTCCTCCAAGCGAAGGAAGCGGTCCGCCACAACCTTAGATCCGCCTTCCTCGCAGACAACTTTCTTGAGCCAGACAGGCAAAGTAGCGACCCCTTCGGATCCAATATTCTGAGGTAGAGCAATAGGAACCTCCCCAACACCTCCAATCAAATCCATGTTTTGTCTGATATTCGAGAAAAATGGATTGACCACGGACTTCTGAGAAGTCGGCAAGGGACAGTAAAGGGCCCCAGGTGCCCGCTTCCCAGAGGCCGGCAGCTGACTGGGCAAGGAAAGACTTGTAGGGGATGATGCCTGGGCAAGGCGATTTTCGTCTACCTTTTCTGGGTATTTTGAGGAAAATTCGTTGAAGCCACCTATGCGCCATAATCAGCCATGCCCAACTGAGATAGACTGTGGGAAGGTGATTTACCTTTAAGAACATATGCCTGCCCCTTCCACCCCTCGCGCACAAACTTGTTGAGGGTATGCAAGGATGTCATTGTTGACGGGTCTTTGAGATCCTTGAATTCGGTATCATACACCACAATGTATTTCATATCCTTCCACGTTGCAAACTTCTCTTTATCCTCATCCTTTGCAAACGTTTCCGATAACTTAGTGACATTGAACGAGGGCCTCTTGAGAAGGGTCGTAGGGATACACAGATTAACAGCTCTCTCGATGCGAGACTCGGCGTACAAATTATAGGTTCGAACATCGAGCAGCAGAAGGTTCAAAGTGTTGGCGTCTAAAAGTTCTGCCAGGTGCGACGCGGATAGCAGGACTGGGTCCCCCTCCTTTGAGGGGTCCGGTAACGCAGAGGGTCGTCCCTGAGCTTGGCCTTTAGCCCGTTGCGCTGCAGAATCATGAGACGCTTTATTTGGAGGCAGTGAAGATGAGGAGAGGGAGAACCGAGAGGGGTTATCACCCGAGCAGGAAAAGGTTGATCCCGGTATCATGGCTCCAAGACGTTCCCTCTGCATATGGTGTAATAGCTCCGGAGATGGATACGATCCCAGTGGAAATCCGATCTTTTCCCCTTCGATGCTCCCCCCCGACAAGTGATCAGGCTCCGACGCAATGTGGCCGTTTGGGTGCTTGAGGCTAAGAGCGATGGCTTCCGATTGCATCTGGAACGGTGTAGGAAGGTGGTCGAATTGAACCGGACGCGGAGACCTGGCAGCTGTTGAACGAACAGAAGACCCAGCAGAGGACCAATTGTTTTTAGCGTGCTGACCCTCGCCAGGATCCAGAACCAACCCAAAATACCCGGCGGGACTTGGGGGGTTAGGATTCCCCTGCTTCGAATTCTGTTTCGTTCCTGAGGTAGGCGCACCTGACGGAGGTGGCGCGGCCGTTGAGGTGTAAGATGTCTGTATGGCAGGAAGAGGATGCTGTGGGCGTACTTGAGAATGCGGGCTATGGATCGGAAACTCAAGAGACGACCGTGGCGACGGTCTTGAGGTCGTTACCGACATATCGAGAGGTATATTGAGTAATAATGCTGTGTTGTTTATACTTTGTTGTTATGGAAATCCGGTCCAAATCGCGAGGTGAGGAGGCTTTAAAGGGAAACCAGCAGACTATGACGAAAGGCCGACAGGCAAGCGAGATCAAGAACCAGTCGGAGAGAGGCGTCAAAGAATTCCGAATGCGTATCGAAAGCTCATGATCACTGGACGTGATAAACCTTGAAAGGGGGTGCGTTTTCTCAGTGTAAAGAACGAGTTTTAACCAGAAAAAAAAAAGTGGCGTTTGTATCGGTCCGTCAAGGCTTGCTTGCTTTCCCGTAGGTATCTCGCCTTTCGAATTTTCTTTCTTCTGCTCTCCAAATCTCCTTTTCTTTTTTTTTCCCCTGCGATCCTAACTTTAAACACTTTCCTTTAGAAAGTGAGATGTAACTACTATTACCAATGCAATAACAACGTGTTTGCCCGAGATCTTGGAGGCGGCGACGGCGTTATGACGCTGCAGGTGAAGAACGGATCAAATCAATTGCCCGAGAAGCTGCAAATACCGCTTGCTTTGAAAAGAACTCTTTTTTTCTTTTTCTTTTTCTTTCTTTCTTTCCGCCCCGAACGCCAGACGCAAAAGAAGGTAAATAAAAGGGGAGAGGAGAGAGCGAAAGAGAACAAACGGGCAACGAAATACAAAAAATTATAGGTATCCGAGTATGGATAAGGAATGTGTGTGTGAGAGAGAGGGAGAGAGGGAGAGAGGAGGGGGGGGGCTGGACCAGGGGAATGGAGCGATAAGTGGGGGGGGGAGGGATTGTTAAATGATCGCGGAGAACGGGGAAAGGGTCTTATTTCAATAAGACGGACCGCAGACAAAGAAGGAGGGCAGGGCACACGCTCAACGAGGAATAAGAAGGAAAGGTTCTGGGTTGAACGTGGAGAAAAGAGGTAAATACCGGTAGGGAGGGAGGATGTATCACACAGAGTCTAGATTGACCTTTTTTTTTTTTACATCATTTATCCAAAGCCTAGGGATGCCTGCGAGAAGAGAAGGAAAAAATGAGTGCCACCAGACTACCGTCCCACTGGTCTGGTGGCGGCGGAGGTGGGGGATTTACATCACAGACCGAGATGGGTAAAGGGCGCGGGGCGTGTCTCGACTCTAGCATCAGCTCACCCGAGAGAAGGCACCGATTTGCAAGTTACAATTCCAGTTCTCGCAAAACCAGCAAGGGGCAACAACTATCACCATCACCATCGCCATTGACCGCAAGTTGTGAACCGAGGATCGGAGGAACAAGCCAGGTTGCTTCTCGGAGCGCTGGGAGAGGTGGAAAGGAGAGGGAAGGGTTACAGTACTAGTGCACCATTACCGCCATGGAATGATACCGGTATGATGCTGGTACGAGTAGAGTAGTATGATAGTAGTAGTAACGATTCCACGGTACGGTACCGTAGAGGGAGAAATGAAGGAAAGCGAGATGGAAACACACCTGGCGGTATCATAGATCATATCACCCATCACACGATACCCACGGTTTGCAAGAGCAGACTCCCCAGTCCATGACTCCATGGCTTCAGTGCTAGGGACACCAGACCCTCGAGCACCGCTTCCTCCCCCCCCCCCTACTGTTCTTGGCAAACGGGCCATAATACAAGTTGTGAGAGGTCTTGCTTACCGGTATGATAGTGTCAATACTATTCGTTGGGTTCCGTCGCGTGGCTTACTGCCGTTGTCGCTGTTCGGTGCGGTGAGCAGCGTCACAATAAGCCCACCGATGACGCTATTGGAAAGGGGTTCGGGTTAAAGTCTGATAGCTTCGAAAAATAGCCTCAGCCCTGCTTCTGTCCAGACCATTGTAGAGGAAAAACTCTCCGATCGAGCGAATTCCCCCAGAGACCACGGATACCAGAGCAAAGCACTTCAGGTATCGTGTGGAACAAATCCCAGGAGATTCAATCACCTTACCTCTACTTCCAGATTGTTCCTCGCGAGGGTGGGAATGCAGAGTCTACCGGTACGAGTCCTCGCACAGTGCAGCGGTGCTCTACCGTACGGTTGGCCCGGTATTACGAGTATACACGCACGTACCAGTATGTGTCTCACATTTCACTGCTTTACCGACTCCGGGCTCCCGGCATGCTACTGTACTCAGTGCCTGTGCTCGAGCACTTGTACAGTGCGGTACTGGAAGTCTAGCACTGTACTCGTACGGGCATTCAAGCGCAAGCACCAGCACACAGTAGCCACCGTGAGAAAGGGGCCCGGAAGCAACACAGGCGGGTGCAGTACGAGTATAATGCGGTACGGTACGGTACAAGTACTGCTCTTCGCGCCCCCTCCTACCAGCCAGAAGCGGTTAGCGCAAGCAGAAAGGGAACAGTAGGGGCCACAAAGATCATACCTATACGAGTAGTAAAGCCACTTATACAGGTATGACCTACCGGTACCGATTGGTGATATACAGCCTCAACAACAACAACGAAAATGAATAATTTACCTTTTACACCCCTTCTCCCCTCTAGACCAGATTTTTGGGGAGGCACAAAGCAATTTACAGCCTGCCGTGGATCGTCACAGTGCTTCTGCATCCTGCCTTGCTGCACCAAGCTGTAATAATCTCCGAAACCGGCTAGCCAGGCCACATCTTCCCTGACACCACAAATATATCTCGGGCTCTGGAGCCCATCGCTCCCTCCTTTGACGGTAATGGTAAGACATGGTGGGCACTCGTTTCTACCGGGGTTGACATGGAATTCTATGAGCATGGCACTCGGGTAGAGAGAAGGGAAAAGGAAAAGGAGGTGGACAAAACGGAACAAGCATAACGGGGACATAATCTTGCCATGCTCGAAACAATGTTCCTATACGCTGGCCGGGGGAGCTTTTTTTGTCTTCTTCCGTCAGCTTTTGATTGAAAACGGGGGGGGGGGTCATTCGCTAGTGAAGACGGCTGACATGCGAACAATCAGGTTCCCTGAGATATCGTCATTGGAAACGCTAATCCCAAATGGGAACCACGCTTACATATCAAGGGATCACTCCTGGATGGGGACGACCGCGTCACATTAGATAAAGAGTCTGTCTGACTGCTCAGCGCTTCTTTCAGCAGGGAATGCTACCGCACAGGCAGTTCTTAGGAAGCAAGTAGGCATAGTCCGGAAGCACAAGTATCAACGGCACACGCGTGAAGCGTGTCTTATAAAGCACTGAAAAATATATATATATATATATATATATATATAATATTTTATAAAAAAATCCCTTGTGGGATTTGCCGAGGGGTTCGGTGTGCTCACAGATACCCGGGTGCAATGGCATGCACCCCGAATCACCTCTTCCCACCCCACCGTACCCGTTCCTCAGGAACAGGGCTTCTCCCGTACAGCACCGGTACTGTAGGTTTGTGCGAGGAGAAAAGAAAAAAGAAAAGGAAGCAAGGAAGGTGGTGCCCAGGAAAGAGGAGAAAGTCACCTCGAGCACGCAAGTCTTGGACCCTTGAGGGGAAAGCGGGACTCATGCAGGGCAGCGTGGGAAGAGGTGAGAAAAAATGTTTCAAACTGCTCCAAAAAGAAATGATTACACGAAAGCCAAAGCTCAGACTACTAATCAAACATGCCCCACCTTGGGACAGCCCACGACGCTTAATCATACCACGACCACTCGGCCCTCACACACACATATATATATAACGTACAGTATCATGTATCTCGGGAAGCGAACAGCAAGGAGCAGCTTGCTGGAGAACAGAGCGTTAGATTGCCCAGCCATTGTTATATGATACCTCGCCCCACCACTCGGCCGCAATCCCTCGGTCCTGCTAGTGGAGACTTCAATCACGGGATCATGAACGTATACGACAGTCGATCCGCTCAATAATTTGTCCGCTTCGCCGCTTATCCGGGTATGTAGTCCCTCCCTACCCTTTCCCCCTCCCATCAAACTCTGCCATTTGATTCGATTGAAGGATCGATTGATCCAGTGCCTGGAAGTCCTCCCACCTTTTCCTGCGGAGACCAAAAGTGGCAATACGGTAACGGAGATTCCCTCCCCCCCCAACATGAACCCACCCACCCCTGATATATGGTGCCCACCGGTACTTGGGGCACGGTATTTAACTCTCCCCAACGGTTTCTCACAAAACCTGCGCTCCTCTTTACCACCGGGGCTAGCCGCAAAATTGTCCCGCCCCACAGGTCCAGGTCCACTGTGCTCACCGCGCCCTCCCTGCGATAGGCGAAAACCAGACCGGCCATGCAACCTGCTAGCCAGGTCCTACAGTACCGGTACAGACCATCACTCATCCGGCGCTAACTCAAGCTTCCTATCGGACAGAGCAGAGTGGAATCCCCCCTTCCGATCTCGCATGATACGGCAGATCTAATAATTCCGATCTCAGGTGTACAAGATCTTCTCACAGGAGCAGTATTACCGTGGCTCTGGTTCGCTTTACTTTACTTCACATGTGCCTGCTTACACAGTAGGGCGCCTGTCTTTTTGTCCACACTTTCGTTGATCTCGGTAGATCGGGTGCTCCCGTGTTGGATATATGTTCAGATACCGGTACTGGTTGGCTGACTGGTTTTCTGTCTGGCGCGTGCGAGGGGGGGGGGACGGGAAGTGACGAATCCCGCACGTAGGCACGTGTAGGTTGCAAGAGGTTGGTAGGTTTGATACCCCACTAGTGCAAGTAGTACGGTACGAGCTGGGCGGTATCATACTCAGTACGGCCAAGGCTATGCCAGCAAACCACAACGGCATTCCAAAACCCCCCCATAACAAACACACCCTGGAGAGATCAAGAGCTCCACTCACGACAATACCGCGCCAAAACATTCCGTCATACTTACCCGCCACCCGCGCCGCATCAAAAAAAACAAAACAAAAACAAAAATGGGACACCCC